GGAGACCTCTGAAGAAGAGGGTGATGAGTAGTTTCAATTGATTTCGTACGATGTGGCTTAATTGACTTACACAAATGGCTGGAGGGTAGTGAAAGGTGGGCGGCTCGCTATGATGGGCGACTCGCTATGCATATACGTTATATTTATATCATTCTTTAATATATTTAAAGAGAAAAAAGATATAAATAATAATAAACTAAATTTACTATAAATCTAAGTGTAGTGTCGCGTTCAACCCATTGAAGCCCGTCCGTATGTGGAGCAAGATTGTGCTCTGAGCCTTGGGCATGTCCACCCAGATCTTGAGGTTGTGCTGCCCCCAAATTCCTTGAATGGCCGGGCAGTTTTCGTTGAAGGCAGCAGCTTGGCTCAGGTAACGGATGACGAACTTTTGCCAGAGGTCCTGCGACTTGAAATGTGACATCTTCTTCACGACGTCCCCGATGAGCTGTTTCCGCCTCAGCCGTCGCAGGGCAGAATTCTCGGCGAGCTTCGGGTCCGCTCTGATCCGCAGCTGGAGCTCGTCATCCGCCACCATCCAGACCAGAGCCTTGGCCTCGCGGTAGGCGACATTCAGCGGATGCGCTTCCATAACCTCAGCCGTGAGGCCACGGCGGTTGGGCCAAAAAAAGCCAGGCCCGCAACAGCGCTTGGCCCTCGGGCGTGTCGATGTTCGTCGCCCGGTGCTTCATCGCACATCCACCGAGAAACACGCAGAGCTTCTCGACGAAGAACTCCTTGCAAAGGATGTCACCCGATACACGTTGGTACGCACCAAAAAATTGCTTCAGACACTGGGTTTGCTCAGTCTCCAGCTTGTTGACTAGGGCCTGGCATAGTGACCACTTGCACCTAGTTCCTTTAGTCCTGCGGACCACGTACCAGAGGGCGCAGGTGTAGGCAAAAATAGGCCTCACGCTGGTGATGTATTGGTGTCGAAGCTTCAAGACATCCGGACCCCAGGTAGATCCACAGACACGCCGCATCTGATACATCTTTTGCCTGACCTTGGCAAGGGTCTGTAAACAGTAAGTTAGTGATAGAACAGGAATCTCGTTTGAAAGGGTGAACTTACTCACATGTGTGATGTGGACGTTCCACTTAAGCTGATAATCCAGATGCAACCCGAGTACTTTTATTGCATCGTCCTTGGCCTCTGTAGGAAACCCCGAAACATTCGGCATGACGTTGACGATGGGCGGGGCTTTGCGCGACTGGCACAAGTGAATGACCTGCGTCTTGTCGGCACTGAATTCGGTGCCATGCAGCGACGTAAATCTTGTCAATCGACGGTACACCTGTGCCAATGCCTCGCAATTCAACTCATAGGAAGAGGAAGCAAGCAGAATGGTGATGTCATCGACGTAGCCTGTGATGACCAGGTCGAAAAGTTGGAAGATAGTCATATCGGCCCCGCTCTCTAAAGTCCGGCTCTCCCTCAATCTCCTGAGAATGGGTATCGTGAAGAACACGAAGAGGATAGGAGAGAGGGGGCTACCCTGAGGAACACCGATCTTGATCCAAAACTTCTTCGAAAGCAGGGTAGTCGGGCGATGCCTCTTTGGCGAATACTTCGGCTTCCGAGGTTTGGGTAGCATGACCGTCACTGCCTTCTTGAACCCCTCCGGGTGATAGGAGAGATCTAGGCGAGCAGGCTTGCATAGGTCGTTCGAACACAAGCGTGATAAAATCTCTGGGGTCTTCCTGAGAGGGCAGCAGCATCTTGAGGGCGTAAATCGAGATACCGCACTTGCCCTTGGCCTTGTGCACAGGCATTCTCGTATAACGCCGCTATCTCTAGGCTTCGACCTCTTTTCCGCCGAATTGTGTGTACAGGGATCAGGGGATGTGGCCAAACACAGGGGAGCATAGCCAGCGAACGCATGGTCCGTGCAGATCTCGGGGCCGCAAACCTTCGTCGAAAGTACCGCGCACAGTACGAAGACTGCGGGGTAACGAGGCACATCCGACCGACCGTTTCCTCCGCACTGTCAAGACAAGATTCCTCCTCAGCAGCGCTCCATCCAAAAAAAGAAAGGATTTCGTCGCTCAACACAGCTGCGTAACATACCAACCATCTCGCTCGCGGCGACAGCCCCCGTCACAACGGAGAAAATCCGACTGTTCCGCCTGGCGTGAGGATCACGGGGAAACTTCGGCCAAGTCCACCTTACCTGGCTGCACACCCTGCCCAGACCTCCAAAATGCGACCCATGCCTACAAACCTCCACTAGCCACGTGGGACCGTAGGGTAGCGGCCCACTACCCGTGCGGTACCAGCGAGCCCCAGGCGCGCCGAAGGTCGCCAGGTACGGACGGATACGCAGCTGTACTATCGCCAAAGTACCTGCAACAAGCACGATCCTTCGCGTGATCGAGCACGCCATATTCAGCCCCAAAATCAACAACAAGATCTCGCACCCGTCAACTCTCTGAGGAGGGCACTATCCCACTACACAGAGACTGATCCAGACAAGTGAGCCGAGAACAGCCCAGATATCTCCCGGAGTTTAACCGAGTTGCCCAACGCACACAAAAGGCCACATCTCAGTCCGCCTCCAGCGATAAACGGCTCAACCACGGCAAGATAATACGCAGGAAGAAGCTGGTAAACCGATGAGAAGCCAGATCTTGTCCGAAGTTTAACCGAGTTGCCTCGCACAAAAAAAAAAAAAAGCAGCATCTCAGTCGGCCAAGGTCGACGAGCTCGTCTCGCCAACTGGCATGCTTCTTCACAGCGCTCTGAGGCAGAGTCACCATAGGATGGAGCTGAAACAGTAAGCCGGAAAGAAGCCAGAGCTTCCCCGAAGTTTAACCGAGAGACCTCGTCCCACTCTCCTGCCATCGTGCGACTGCTTCGTCTCTCTACGCATGGTTCCACGGTGATTAGGTCAGCCAACCCGAGTACAAGTCGACTGCTGAACCCCACGCGTGGGATGCCGCCCCATCCCGCACAACAAAATATGCAGCCCTGCCTCCGTCAATCTCGTCCGTCTCATACAGATGGGTTCACGATAACCATTAGACTACTAAGTAGATGGCTACCAAGGTTTCTTACGCTCTACTTCGCCAAATGCCACATTGAGAACCCCGGCCAAGTTTCCCGCCAATGGGTCACCTCACATGTGAAGACACCCAGCAGCTCCATGAAGCTCATCAGGTCGCGTCTTGCGGCGCACCCCGTCTTGGCTGGAGTGCGGCTTTAGAGTCGTGTGCCAAGCCCGCTGCCCATTCAATTTACGTCACGCCAGACCCTATAGATGCGTTGAACTTGATCGAGCTTCCAAAATCCGGCCCCTCTCTCCTGTCTCGTTGTCTGTTGGTGTGCTTCTTAGCCCTTCTTTCCACGGACGTGGTCTTTGAGTGAAGAGCAAAACACCGGCCAATTCGACCATTCCGTTGTCATTTCCACCTTCATCGCGAGAAGTCAAAAGTCAGATCTCAAAAGTGCACGAAAAGTTTGCGTGGCCATGGGAATGGGCAGACTGGGATACTCAAAAGTCGTCGCAAGTTTGCGACTTGCGATGGAGTGCGGATCTGGGTCTTCGCGAGAAGAATGAGCCGCGGAACTTGGTTTCTGTTATGCTGCATAGCCCGCTGCCCGGCATCCAGAAACACCCACAGAGAAACCTACTCGAAACGATTTCCAGTGTTGAAACCTTGTTTGCTATTATGTCATGATCTATCTAGTCATGCGCTCTCATTACTTTATACAGGTGAAGTGTTGAATATTGTCTACAGTGTAAATGGCCGTTGAGATCTCTCATCAACCCATCTCAATCCCAAATCCAGCTGACGAAGCGAATGGGCCCCGTCTTCTTGACCTCGGGCTCCTCGGGGTACGCGTCGGCCTGGTCGAAGGCATCGTGCAGCGCGATACTCTCCAGAGGCACGATCTTGGTCTTCTTGACGAACTTGTAAATGAGGTAGGCGCCGAGGACCAAGGGGATGTCACTGGCAGGCCAGTCAGCAAGTCTGCAACAGAAGAGCAGCAGGGTGGGAACTCACAGGTACGAAGACACGAAGCCGCTGGCGCTCCAGTTGCCCTTGGTAAACACCTCGAAACCGCTGGTGAGAAGGATGGTGATGCACATGAGGAGCGCCACCGTCGAGGTGTAGACTGAAACGCAATGTTGTTAGCAAGGATACAATGCAAAACCAACAGATGTCTTACCTGTCCACGAGTTGTGCCAGGGCAGCCTCTCCATGGAGATGTTCTGCTTCCTCATCGCAGACTTAAGGCGCAGGTGATTCAGCAGGATCGCCGACCACGACACCAGCACGCCCGCCGCCGTCAGGTCCACCAGCCACCAGAAAACGGTCAGCGCGCCGTTCGACAGGCTCATGAAGCTGAGGAACATGAAGGCCGTGAACAGCAGCACGCACATGTACGGCGTGCCCCACGCCGTCGTGCGCAGGAAGATCTTGGGCGCCTGGCCCTTGAGCGCGAGACCGAAGAGCACACGGGTGCCCGCGAGCAGACTCTGGTTTGACGCGGACCACGCGGAGGTGATGACGACTGCGTTCACGACGCTGGGGATGGCGGGGATGCCCGCGGCGGAGGCGGCGATGACGAAGGGGCTCTGCGCGGCGGTGCCGTACGCGTCGTCGAGGCGGGTGTCGTTGCTGGCGACGAGCATGCCGACGACGAGCACGGCGAGCATGTAGAAGAGCACGATGCGCGCGAAGACGCGCTTGCAGGCGCGGGGGATGGCGCGGCGCGGGTTCTGCGTCTCGGCGGCGGCCATGGCGAGCGACTCGACGCCGGCGAAGGAGAAGACGGCGCTCGTCATGACGCCCCAGTAGCCGAGGAACTTGCCCCAGTTGCCCGTGGCGATGTGCTCGACGAAGGGCCCCGGGTCCTGCCAGTAGCGGAAGCCGATGCGCGGGGTGCCGGGGACGCCGCCGAGGTCGATGACGAGGCCGAGGATGATGAGGAAGATGACGAGGAGGATCTTGAGGAGGGCGAAGACGAACTCGACCTCGCCGAAGACACGGACGAAGGCGATGCCGACGACGAAGGTGAGGATGATGAAGACGACGATGAAGACGGAGGGGTTGAGGTCGGTCCAGAACTCGAACAGGACGCAGATGGCGGTGATCTCGGAGGGGATGGAGAGGATGTTGCCGTAGACGAGGTTCCAGCCGATGGCGAAGCCGAGGGCGGGGTCGACGAGGAACTCGGCGTGGCGGACGAAGGAGCCGGTGACGGGGAGCAGGGCGGAGACCTCGCCGAGGGCGAACTGCACGGCGCAGACGATGAGGCCGACGGTGGCGTAGCCGAGGAGGGCGCCGAGCGGGCCGCCGGTCTGGATGGCGCCGCCGAGGCCGAGGAAGAGGCCCGTGCCAATGGCGCCGGCGATGCCCAGCATGGACAGGTGGCGCTGCTCGAGGCCGCGCTTCAGGTCGCGGTCCTCGGTGGCCGTGACGAGGTCGCCGTTGTGGTCCTCGCGCGGCTCGAACGGCCCGCCGCGCGGCGTGGAGGACGCCGCCTCGATGTCGTCCGAGGTGATCCAGGCATGTCGGGTGACATCGGTGATGCCCGGGGACTTGGCGCCAGGGAACGGGATGGTCTCGGTGCTGCGGCTCATCGCGGCTGTGATTTGCTGCACACCGCAAGCCAAGGGAATCCTTCACCTCTCTCACCGAGGTCTGCGAGGCAGTGAGACGCGAGGGGAGGGAAGCAAAGATTGACCGCGTCCGACAATGATTCGCGCCGTTGAGCTGTGTTGCGATAACACTGGCTTACGTAACTTGAAACGCCGCGATCGGAAAAGGCCTGAGGGACAGGATTTGGGCGTGGAGGAAGAGAGGTTGGTTCACCGCACCGAGCAAAAGAGGAAAAAAACCTACGTCCTACGCCGATCTCTGGTTCATGCGGCTCTGGGCCATGGCGGGCGTGAAGGGGATCAAACAAAGGTGGACGACGTCGCAGACAGAAGAAAGAGGCGGCGCGAGTGAGAAGAAATTTCGGCGTCCTGTCTTATCGCGACTCCATTTCGGAAGGTGAGATTTCCCATTTGATGGTGCCATCTGCGCTAAGCGGGGCCCGTCCCACACCCTCTGCTGCAGTGCTGCAGGAACGATACCGCAATCGTCCAAAGTGGTACGTACATCCCTGTCTTATCAGCTTATCGCTTGTTTCGAAACCGAGGCTTCTTGGGAACTTTTGGGACGGGACTGACTCGAGTTCGCAGGTTTCGGCTCCCGCAGTCTGCTCATCTGGAAGAATTCAGGTTCCGTTGCGATGGCTCCTCTCCATCGGAAGAGAATGCGAACAGTGTGGGCATGCGGCATGTTCGAAGCTATTGCTACCCCGCGGATTTGTTGGCGCGAAGGCGCGAATAATCGGGGCATAATTGCCGCCACTCGGACCATTTTTTAACTAATCGCTACCGGCGCAATGCGTTTAATCCCAGACTCGCAGAGCGGCAGCGCAACTGGCTCCGTCCTGTGTTTCCGAAACCCGGAGGACCGGGTCCGTCTGTGGAGGGTATCGGCCCCACACTGCCGAGTCCGTCGTCACGAAATTCGGTCGGTTTGGTCTGGCGGATTTCTTCATCTCTATCGGAACAACAGTGGAAGTAATAAAATAGTTTTCCTACTTGGATTTATATATCATACTTCAAGGCTTCTTAGCAGCAAGTTTATCGGATTTCATCGTAGCTAAATTCACATGGGACTCAGCAAAACACTCCTCCCATATAATCACGTGATCTGTCGTGTGTAGGGCGCAGATAACGACACGCGAGATCTGAAGGATTCAAGAACCCCTGCAAATGACTCACTCCGGCCAAGTTGCGTCCAATAACGTATTTCAATGTCTGCTTCTGCCTTCCAAGCAGCATCTCATCAAGGTCACATCCATTACCCGCCAGCGCCCTCTCCGACCAACACCCGCCTTACCAGCAGCCATGGCGACACAGACAGTTACGGAGTTGGCAACGTTCGAGCCTGCGGCTTCACCGCCACGTGCTGCGCCGAGGAAGAGCTATGAAACTCCGGCGAGCGTTAATGTGCCGCTGGTCGCCCACGGCCCTGCCGAGCCCACGACGGCGCCGGCGGAGGCCGTGGTTCTCTCGAAAGTAAGAGCTGCCATGGTCATCGCGCAAGTCTGTGGCCAGCTGTTCTTCAGCAGCTTCTGCAACGGCATCATCGTCGTCGCGCTGCCATCCATGCAGGCTACCCTCGGTCTGGCGGAGGGCCTGCTCGTCTGGCCTAGCTCCAGCTACTTCCTCACGGCAGGCTCGTGTCTGCTGCTGGCGGGCTCGGTCGCGGACGTCGTCGGGAACAAGCGCGTGAATCTGGTCGGTTCCTTCTTCAGCGCCGTGTTTGCCATGGCCTGCGGGTTGGCGCGGTCCGGGGGCGAGATCATTGCCTTCCGTGCGCTACAGGGCGTCACGAACGCCATCATCACCCCGTCGTCCATATCGATCATCTCGAACAATGTGGAGGAGGGCCGGCCGCGCAACATGGGGTTCGCATTCATGGGGTTCGCCCAGCCTCTCGGGTTCTGTTTTGGTCTAGTGCTGGGCGGAGTCTTTACTGATACCGTGGGATGGCGGCCGGCGTTTTACCTCGCTGCGGCTGCGAGTGGAACACTGTTTTTGCTGAGCATCTGGGCTTTGCCGCAGGATTCTAGGTCAAAGACAGGTCCATCCATCTGGAAGAGACTGGTCCACGAGATTGACTGCGTCGGTGTCGTATTGGCCAGCACGGGACTGGCGTCTTTGTCTTATGTATTGGCGTGAGTGTCTAGTCCATCGCAGGTACCACACTCTGACTGACGATTCCCAGGTCGCTATCAGCCGACATTAACAACATTCATAAACCATATAGCATTGCCCTCTTGGCCATAGCAGGCTGCTCGATCCCAACCTTCGTTGGCTGGATGCACCGCCAAGCCACAACGCATCGCACAGCTCTGATTCCCAACTCGCTATGGAAAAGCCACGTCTTCACCAGTTGCTGCGTCATGGTTCTTCTCACCAACGCTTTGACCAACTGCATGGAGCTGTACAGCAGTCTCTTGTAGGTTCACGTGTTCATCACACCTCACATGTCAGCGTCGCTGACGAGAAACCCCAGTTTCCAGCAAGTCCAGGAAGCCTCCGCCATCAAGGCATCGTTGCAAGTCGTACCGTCCCTCGTCGCCGGCGCTCTCACCAGCATCGCTACCGGGATCTTCGTGCACCGCATGCCGGTCCTGTGGATGCTGTTGATCTCATCGGCGATGAGCACCGTTGCGCCACTCCTCATGGCTCTGGTCCGGACCAACCAATTGTATTGGGAGAACGCATTCTTCGCGCAGGTGAGCACGAGAGCCCGCCGCTAATTGTCATTTCTGCTGCCGTATCTGTGAAGCGACTGACATGCCTGTAACTTAGATCCTCACGCCGATCAGCTGCGATCTCCTCTTCACCGTCGGCCTTCTCATCATCTCGGACGTCTTCCCGCGACACATGCAGGCTCTGGGTGGCGCCGTGTTCAACACCTGCGCACAACTCGGCGCGGCGATCGGCATGAGCGTGACGCAAGTCATTGCTTCGTCTGTGACCAGGCAGTCTTCATATGCGGACAAGTCGTCGCCCGATGCTCTGATGACGGGATACCGGGTTGCGTTTTGGACGATGTTTGGATGGATGATGGCGGTTTGTCTTGTATGTGTACTAGGTATGCGACGAGTTGGGGTTCTGGGCGTCAAGAGGGATTAATCTGTGAGGTTCTATTTTGTAATCTCGCATATCTCGCTCCGCTGGTCTTTGTCTTGCTCTCAGACAAGTTCCACGGTCGAAGGTTAATTATTGATGTAAGCGACTTATCAACCATCATAATTGCCCATCTTACGGATCTCTCCATAAACAATGTTTTACCAACATCTGGCGAGCCAAGTTGTTAAACTGGATAGACCTGGAAAAATAAAAGACAAAAAGATTTCGGGCCGTGCTAGGTCAACAGCCCATCGGAGTGAATGGGAATTTAACGACTCGCATTTCGAGCTATCTAAGCACCAATTAATTCGCGATAGCGGATTATGAACTCGGAAAACTACATTTGATCCTGTCTCACAAGTTCTGATCCGATGCAGCGTAGGGGTCTAGGGCAGAGCGGAGAGATAATGAGCATAAGTTCAAGATGTCGAAGATCAACTTGAACCTCCAGAGGGAGGCAGTGACTAACCAAGCAGAGGCATCAACTCGCCGTTGAGTCTCTTCCCGAGGTTCTCAGTTCCACGAACACAGGACTTTTTCTGATTTCTCTCGGGTAGTGGCACAATGACGACATCAAGTTCAGCAGCAAGGATGGAATGTTGTTAGCAGAGTCTCTCACTGCGGGTCCAATGAGATGCTGCGAATGCTTGCCTGCCAGAGTGACAACCTTGTAGCTATTCCCGAGGGTTGTGATCTATCTACTCCCTTCGTTGATAGACTTCACCACGGTGATCCAGTCTGCAGAATGCAAAGCAACCACAGGGAATGTCTGCGGGTCTATTGAACGCCGCTAGAGCGATGCGCCAAAGGGAGATGAGACAAGGCGACGCAGAAGTTCGATGACTTTTCCTTACTCATGGATGCCTCTAGGTCTTGATGGGTCATAAAGGTTCAAGCCGTCAGTGCTCAACTAATGGCTCCATGACCAGATAGAGACAATGACCGCGCACGACAGCAACAGTTGATGTTTGGTCGAAGCCTTCATCTTCAAGTTGAACTGTGTTTGGCATGTAATGCGAGGATGTTGTGGACAGGATGAATGTGGCAAAGGGACTAGACTAGCTCTTTATGTCATGGAATGCGATAAAGGCTCGTCAATCCAAAGCAGCCGTTTCAGCCACGAGAAGGAGACGATGCAAACAATCAATTGTTGTCTGTCTCTGAAATTCGCAAGGGAGAGGCTGAAACTAGACTATACATGGTGGCGCTTTTCTGGATAGCCGAGGATAACGACCTGAGAAATCGACGGAGTCTTGAAGTCGTCACCGTCACAAGGGCCGATATCAAAGTACAAATTGTGCTTAGTTCGGTGCCGACGTAAGTGCTGACAGCTCCGTCGCATGCACTTGAAGATGCATTGAAAAAAGTCTTTCGGCGAGCGTCGTGATTGACTTCATGGGGATCAAGCTATTAAAAGGCTTTACTTTCTTCACCAACACAGATAATTCGTCCAGGACAATCCGCCGAGAAGGCAGGCTGCGAACCGGAGATACTGGAATGTCGGTTGATAACTCATTTTAAAGAAATGGGTTCCTGCAGGGAACCATGGTTGAACCCTGCACCCGTAGGGCGGCTTCTCCCAAAGTGGTGCGTGGGCCGTCGACGGTGAGAAAAGAAAAGTCAAACTAATAAACTACTCAAACCCGAAACATCTCGGAAGACCGGCTCGTGGGGACCCACCGGGCCCCTTCGGATCCGGCACGGCCTGGCGGCACGCAGGCCTGGCTAGACTCTGCCCCAGAATGATCGTCCTCGGCAGCAGAAGCCAAGACTTTTGACCGATCAGCCAACAGAAAACACAAGCGATGTGACAGGTGAAGACATTTTTGACATTTTGGCGCCGGTGCGGGTGGTGAAACAGGCTGAGATCGTGCACACCGTCACGTCAGATTGAGACACTTAACGTTAACTCAAAAAGACTTGTGTGGTGGAAAGTCTGCTTGGAAAACTTCAGGGAGTTGCGCTGATTTGAAAGCAACGCGCTCATTTTGGCGCATGGTAGACCCAGTATTGCCCCATTCGCAACTTCGATCCCTCCACCCGCTCCGGATGTCAACCCGACGAGCCAACACATCGGACGAACCACCAGAACACTCCAGAACGCCAGATGGAAATGAAGGAGCGCAAGCCAAATGAAGGGCGAGCAGGCAATATCCCAGTCTCACCACAAGATCGCGCACCGCGTGCCCACAATCTGACTGTGGTGTCTCTCACGTCACCCATGGGGCGATTAGCCGGAGGGAGTGGCCCCACGAATCACATCCGCACGACAGGGATCTCGATATGCACTGTTCCGGCCAGAAGGCACCGCAGTTACATTGCGAGATTGTGGAAGAGTGGTCTCGAGTTCAGGAGTCAACCTGAATATAAAGTCCACAGACCGTGATCCCCCAGCGGTGATCTTGACTCTTTCCACCCCATCGTCTCAAGCTTCTTTTTCTCCCCGACACTCTTTCACGGCTTTAAGCCACCACACTCATTTGAATTAAGTCACTCATTTTCAACCCACTTGTACGCTCCCTCTCGTTCCGTGAATCAGGCATTCATCATGAAGGGACTCATTCTCAGCGCCGCCCTCGTCGGCGGAGCCATGGCCCAGGCCGGCCCCTACATGCCCTGCGGAGGCAAGGGATGGACCGGAGCAACGACCTGCGTCTCTGGATACACCTGCGTGAAGCAGAACGACTACTACAGCCAGTGCGTCCAAGGCAGCGCCGGCGCCGGTGCCGTCAGCGCCCAGCAGGTCACCACCCTGAAGACATCGACGAGACGCAGCTGTAAGTCGAAGACCGCCGGATCCGCCGCCGCCAGCGTCGTCGTGCCGCAGGCGCCCACCACGAGCGCTGCCGGAATCTCGACGACATCTGCCGGTGCCGCCGTCAAGCCGTCAGCCCAGCCCGTTGACACCAAGACAGCTCCTTCGACTTCTTCCAAGGCCGCCAGCAGCCAGGTACCCGTCAAGTCCGTCGCCGCCGAAGCCGTTTCCTCTTCCGCTCCCGTGGTCAAGCCTACCACCACTGCCGCCGCTCCCGTGACGACTTCCAAGGCTGCCGTCACCTCGGCCGCTCCTGCCACGTCCGCCAAGGCCTCTTCAGCCCCCGCCGCGTCGGCTTCCGCCACCCCTGGAAAGACTGGCAAGTTCAAGTGGTTCGGTTCCAATCAGTCCGGTGCCGAGTTCGGCCAGGGCACGCTTCCTGGTACGGCCGGAAAGGACTACACCTTCCCGGACACCACCAAGGTTGATGTAAGGTGGCACACAACTTGACATCTTGGATTCCCACTGACACAAAAGCAGACTCTGATCAGCCAGGGATACAATACCTTCCGTCTCAACTTCCTCATGGAGCGTCTCGCCCCCAACGGCCTGACCGGCAGCTTCGACGCCGACTACCTCGCGGGGTTGACCAAAGCCATCACCCACATCACTACCGCCGGCGCCAGCGTCGTCCTCGACCCTCACAACTACGGCCGCTTCAACAACAACATAATTACCGATACCGCCGCCTTCAAGACCTTTTTCACTAACTGGGCTACGCTCTTCAAGTCCAACGATAAGGTCATCTTCGACACCAACAACGAGTACAACTCCATGGACCAGGACCTCGTTCTGAAGCTGAACCAGGCCGCCATCGACGGTATCCGTGCGTCCGGCGCTACGAACTACATCTGGGTCGAGGGCAATTCCTGGACTGGCGCGCACTCCTGGGTGAGCACCAACGACAACATGAAGGCCCTCATCGATCCTCTCAACAAGATTGCCTACGAGATGCACCAGTACCTCGACAGCGACTCCAGCGGCACATCCGAGACGTGCGTCTCCGCCACCATCGGCGTAGAGCGCGTCAAGGACGCCACTGAGTGGCTGCGCAGCAACGGCAAGGTCGGCGTCCTCGGCGAGTTCGCCGGCGGTGCCAACGACGTCTGCAAGGAGGCCGTCACCGGTCTCCTCGACTACCTCCAGCAGAACAGCGACGTGTGGATCGGCGCTACGACATGGGCTGCTGGACCTATGTGGGGATCCTACATGTACTCCTTTGAGCCCGAGACGGGCGTTGCGTACAACTACTACAACGACTTGTTGAAGACGTACCAGTAGAGGCGCCCTGGGTGATACGGCAGCGTTGGAGTGGGTCCAGGGCTCGGAGCCTCGTCTGAGTATGCATATTGATGTTCTACAGCTTTGGATAAGCGTAGAAAATTTCTTTCTCTTGTATATAATAGTAGTAGGAGGGTTTTGGTAGTCGGCGTCCTATGTCGGCTCATCGCGGATTACACCTCTTGTATCTATTCTTCAGCAACACTTCATCTTGAATGAGGCAAATTCTCTTGGATACGTGCATTATTTTGATTGGTTTGCTGTGGCGAGACGTTGCTGTGATGGTTCTTGTTGTCAACTCAACCGGCAGACATCCGGATGATCCGGGATTGCTCCGATGGAGACCCACACCACCGCGCCGACTCCGGTGTCAACTCCGATATGCACGGTCATCGAAGGTCTGCGCATTGATATTCCCGAATTCTCTTTGGGCCAGGGCCCAATGGCAAATTTCTGAAAGTGCAAATTCCGTTGACAACATTGACCCTGAACCCGTGACAAACTCTACACAAGAGTCGCCCTGCTCTCAAAACTCTTCGCTTCCGGATTTCTCGGTGATTGACCACCAAGTTCTTCGAATCATGTGACACCCTGGCTGTGTGGGGTCCGTTGTTCCTGCAACAGTCCCACCGAAGCCACAATCAAGCTTCGCCGCCTGCGCCGCTATGCACGGTACTAACGTAACCTAGGACTGTGGCACGACGCAATCTCGCTCCTGCCTGTTGGCATTCCTACGAACCGGCGTACTGGGAGTTCAGGACGAGTGAAGTTCGCTTTAATAATAGGACACCGTTGCAAGTGCGCCGATTCCTGTTGGTGCGCTGCAGCTGCCTGGTGTGGTGGCTGAGGATCCCTGTCGAAGCCTCTCGAAACTGTCTAGCTGGAAGCAGAAGGATCTGGTACAGGTACTCAGGCGATGAGTGTCACGGCGAGGCAGCAGCCAGCCTGGCAAACAGACAGCTGTAGCCAACAAGCATAAATACTGCGTCAGCCCTCGAATTGCAGTGAGTCCTGTTTGAGAGGTTCGTAGGTCACGTTCCTGTGGTAATTCAGAGGCCGAAGCTTATATATACTTCACCGTTTGCGCGAACCCAAATCATTTGAATCCTAGCAACGCCCAAAGTTCCTCTGCATCTCCGAATCCGAGACGCAAAATTGTGAAGAAAAGGGCACCAAAAAAAAGAATCAAAAGGCCCTTCAATCTTCATTCCAGTCCGACAAAATGTCCAAGTTCGACGGAGCCACGGCCTCAGCCCCGCGATCCCCGCGCACCCCGCCTTCCGCTCTGGGCCCGGACCCACAGCCGGCACCGTACAGCACCTGGTCCGGCCCACCCAGCACAGCAAACATCCTGACTCGCCAATTGGCCGCCGTCGCTCTCATCATCCTCCTGTACACCGCATCAATTCCCTTCACGCCCGTCATCTGGGTCATGAACATCGAGGGAAGCTCCTTCATCGACCGTCTCTTCGCCGGCATCGTCATGCTTTCGGCCTGCTACTTCCAATGGCAGATTGCAGGCCTGACTCGCCCTCTCGCCATCGTCTTTCCCGGAAGCAGTGGCAGCGTCATTCGGAATGGTCGCATTGAGAGAGGCTCGACCATGGGATTTGTATGGCATCCGTCAAATTACTGGCCGTACATCATCTGCGAGGCGATGCTTCTGGCTCTGGCTGAATTCGGAACCAGCGAGATGCTGAGAAGGAGCATTGTCTGTGGGATTGTTGCTGGGCTGTGGGCTGTTGGATACAGCGCGACGCCAGAGTCGACGAAAAGGTGGGCTTACGAGCACCTCAAAGCGTGGATGTTCTGGATGGTCTTGGACGAGATCATGCGAGTTGGTCGAAGCAGTGTCAGTGGCCGTCGTCGCCGATATTAAAGGTAACAGAGCCTATCTCCCCGCGCATGTTGCATGCGTGTGGATATCACGAAGGCTTGTGCCATGGAGCAGCTGCCAGGGCGAGGTGGAACTCCACGCATTGTGGGAGGCGCGGAGTAATCCTGTCCACAAAAACGCCTGATCACATAACCGATCTCAGTTTTCAAAAGTCTCAATAAACGACTTTCAACCTCCCAATAAGAATATTTGTCGACTCGATAATTTTGCCCAATGTCAGAATGCTTTACCATCCTGTGCCATCGTCTTAACGCGTATCAGCCCAGCAACTGTCGGCTGCTGTGTCATGACGTCGTGCAAATACTGGGGTCTTTTTCGGACTACAGGGAAATCCGACGCCGGTGTTCCCAGCGGTTGACACCTCTAAGGCGGTCGCGCGCCATCAGACCCATTGGAGCCCCCAGCTTGTGCGCGCGACGAAAATTCGTTCCCATGTTCCAGATTCAGTGCATCAAGCTGATTGCAAGTGCGTCGTCACTTTAGACAGGGAACACCTCGATGGAAAGCCCCATGTCAATTCAACGGCCAATGCGTCATCGTAGCGCCCAAAGCTGGCTTGACCACAAACTTCCGGCAGCAGCCGCTCTCTGCGAAAGTCAAAAGTATTGCTGAAATCGCGCGGTCAACAGCGTGTTTATTGCTAAGTCTCTCAATTCTGCATTTCTCGAGCGAAAAGGGAAAGTTGCTCAATCGGTTTGATGTCTCAACCGACGACGACTGACTCAAGGAAGTGGTTCCGAGTGCAGCTCTTTTTCCTCTTTCGGCGCAACACAGGAATTATACTTTCTGCGCAAATGCACAACTCTCCACAGTATGGGACGAACATGCTAGGATTACGTACGTCTCATAGGCCGGAGATCAAGCTGGACAGGTTCCGCATACCAAAGGGAGGCCTTCCAAAGGGGCGGTGGTTTCGCAACTTCTTGGGTCCATGCTTCCACTTACGAAGATCGCTGTTTCCAGACGTTGAACGATCCCTGCAATGCTATGCCCCCCGACAGTCTCGAGGTGGGTACCAAGGGGTAAGGCGCATGATGTGGGCGGTCCATACCGACAGTCTGGATATAAAGGAGACCACATACGGCTTGCAAGTCTTGCATCATCTTCTATCGATATCGCAACTTCGTTCGGAACCTGCGCCTTATTCAAACCTCGTCAAGAATCTCTCGAAAACAACGCCAACATCGTCAAAATGAAGTCCTCCGCCGTTGTCGGCTTCCTGTCTCTCTGCCTGGCGCAGACTGCCTTTGCTGCTTGCAGGACCCGCACCAATGAATGCGTAAGCACAAAATCCCCGATGATCTGACATGTTTGCTGATGAGCCAAACTTCACAGTCTCCTCAATCCGTCTGCGACGCCATCGGCAAGCCCGGCGCTTTCCCCTGCGCCTCTACAGAGACCCAGAGCCCTGCCCAGTGCTCACAGGCCGCCTCCCCCGGTGGTCCCACCTCCGTCAGCGTATGTCTCTCGTCCGATATCGATAATCCATACAAGATTCTGATATTCTATCTAGTGCGAGTGCTGCGATCTGTAATCGGTCATAGCAGGACTCTTGCCGAGTTGGTGATGGTTCGATGCGACTTTGATAGATACCATTCTCGCTTCCTCATTATACAGGACTTGAGATTTCGATAGTGTAATGTGCAACTAGCATGATAATGAACGAACTCATCGAGCCTGTGACAGTGTTTGTATTCTTCGCAGCAGTGAATGGAGTGAGACAAAGCGCAAGACTTGTAAGCGACGCAACCTGCATATCAGCCTATCGAATGGACTTCAACGAAGAGGGCAGCCAGAAGACCTATGTCCCCTTTCTCTATCAATCACGCAAAGTGTTTCACCGATACTCAAGGCGCTATCATTCTGAATTGTCGAATGCAATGTCTGGATTCTGACCAACAGCTTCGACATCTCCCGAATTAGTCCTAGTGCAAGGTCTATGAAGCAGACTTCAAAAGAACAGAGGATCACACGCATTCAGATCAGGTAGGCTTTGAGGGTAACGAATGTTACGATAGTTTTTCGGATGCAACCGAACTCACTTCACTTTTCAGTCGACTTTGCTATCCCAGCGGACACCCCTAGGCTCTTGAGCTAACCGGGCAGACTACCGCCTTACCTATGAACTATATTAAAAGACGATTCCTCTTATGATTATCCCCATCGTAACTATCATAATCGTAATTGTCGTCGCTGCTATCTTCGTACTTATTACTGCTTTCATGCTGTTATCGTCATTTGCTCACACAGCAAAAGCCTTGCAATGATGCCTTAAAAGTGGTGTATTTTCACAGCAATGATCCGAACCAACGGTCAGCTCATAGTTGCGAGAGCATGGACGGGACGTCAGGGATCTCGCTATCCGGGCCATAATTAAAACGAGAGAACCTGTCCTGACGTTCGTGGCGTGCAGGGGCGAGCGGCTCCAGCGGCCGCGTCGGGATATTATCTGGAGAGCTCTGTGAAGCTTTCAATTACTAGTATTTGGGACTAGTGCTAAGTCTTTCAATGATGAGCTCTGCCGAATCTGTTGATCGATAGACAAAAGCATGATACTACTAGTTGATGTGCCATACTTGCTGAAAGCACGACCGGCTACTACGAAGGAGTATTCTTGATTACCAATGCTCAATGATCGAGTTTCGTGAATATTCAATCTGACGCGTGCGGTGTGATGAGTCCATACCGCAGAAGACTGCCAGCAACACTGGTCTCCCATGAAACCCATGTCTCGTGTAGTAGAGCCGCCTGTACGCCTTCATTCTTCCTACTCTTCGACAAAGTCTTCACTGAAATAGTCATCCATGATGAAAATCGGAGACCGGCTAGTCGACTAACGGGGCTCTTCATCAGACTTTGGGTAAATCTCAGACGACGCACCTCAATAATCTCATGCCGTCGATTTCTGAGTATGGGAAACTTGCCTTGAAGGGAAATTTCGTATTAATCGCGCAGAGCACTCGCCTCCGCTTGAGTAAACCTTCGCAAAATGGAGACCAATATACTTAGTGCTTACAGCATCGAACCGAACGGCAGACACAGCGTGACATCGCTCTGGCAATTGACAGAACAGCTACCCAATCAGCGTAGTCGCTGACATGGATATAACCCACTATCCGGCAGCTCCCTTGCGGCCGTCAACCGAAACCCATGTGTCCTACGGGGTTAATAACAGGGGTGCACTGGGTACTGACAGGGTTCAACACCACTTATCCGAGGTGCCCTATGAGAAGCTCCAGAGACGCGGAAGAACAGCCATCTCTGCATCGGACGGGTAGCCATATCTGCCGTGCGCCCGTGACTTGGCGGTAAGGTCGATATATCCCTGGACGCGCGCCACGATGAATCATGCCGTGCGATTGGACAATGGGTTTCGTTCCCGATTTTTGCTTGCGCAGTCTGAAGAGTTGGCTGCCGGTAACTTCCCACTAGACGATGTTCGTTCTATGGACCGTAGGCTGCATGCCGTGAGGGAGGGGTTCAAGTGATGCGCGGAAATGAAGTCTTGGCCTAGACTGGCGCGCCACTCAGTCAGGCCACGACTCTTAAAAGATCAAGTGCCGCCACTGTTTAGCTTTTCTCTCCTCTCCGGCTCGTCCAGGCAGAGCTCTCGGTCCTACACTCCCGGCAATCATGGACGTCACACGAAGCTTCAAAGCCGCGGCCTTGGCTGCGCTCATCTCAAGCCAACTGACAATCGCTGATCCAGTCTCTGCCAAGTTCGCAAAGCGGAGCGCTGCAGAACTTGCAGGCGCTTACGACTATGTTATTGTCGGCGGAGGGTTAAGTGGCCTGGTTGTGGCCAACCGCTTGACCGAAGATCCGGATGGTAAGTTGTTTGAATGAAGGAAGCCGAAAGCTCCCGACAACTGACTGCGCTAGTCTCGGTTCTGGTCGTGGAGTACGGCGAGTTCGACGGAAGTTGGGACGTCATGATTCCCTATTATGCTTCCAATACCCACCCCAACGACATGAGACAACTTCTGTCCATCCAGCAGCCCGGTCTCAACAACCGAACATCGGGAGTTCAGACAGGTACCGTTGTCGGAGGTGGCTCGACGGTCAATGGCATGGCTTTTGATCGAGGGTCGAAGGCGGATTACGACGCTTGGGAAGAGCTGGGCAACCCTGGTTGGAACTGGGAAAGTCTCATTGAATACTTCAAGAAGGTAAGCACACCTCAAACCTGACGTCCCATGAGACTTGGAGCTGACGAGGGCCAATTTTAGTCCACCACGTTCCACCTTCCCGCCCAAGAGTATGTCGAGAAGTACAACTTCTCCTACGACCCGAGCACATACGGCGACGGCCCCATCCAGGTCGGCTTCCCGTCCTGGCAGTGGCCTGACGTAGGTTTGTTGCATGCTGAATGCGGGATATGCGAGGATCGAAAGTGCTGACGGGGTGACAGGAATCCAAAGAGACGCGTGGATCAAGGACCTTGGAATCCCTGTTCTCAATGACCACGGAGCTGGCGGCAACAATGTTGGAGTTGCTCAACTGCCCCAAAACTCCGAAGGAAAGAATGTCACGCGTTCCACTGCCCGAACGGGCTACTACGATCCCATCGCAGGAACTCGTGCGAACATGAACCTACTCATCAAGCACTACGCTTCCAAGGTGGAGTTCGAAGACAAGAAGGCGATTGGCGTCAACGTTGTCTCCCGAGATACCGGGGAAATATTCCTTATCAAAGCCAACAAAGAGGTCTTGCTTGCTGCTGGCGGAGTGCAAACCCCACGAATCCTTCAGCAGAGTGGTGTAGGACCCGCTGCGTTGCTTGAATCCCTCAACATCGAGGTGGTTGCCGATCTTCCTGGAGTTGGTGCCAATTACCAAGATCATCCCTGGATGCTGATGTTGTACAACTGTGAGTATTGAAGCATCTTGCTGGTGGAACAAAAAGACTGACTCTTCTAGATGGCAATCCTCCTGAGCTTGGTAGCGATACAATGAACGACCCCGCTTTCTTTAATGCCTCCGAGGCCGAATACTTTGCCAACCGCACTGGACCATTTACCCACGCACGTGGCAACAACATCGTCTTTTTGTCGCTCCAAGATCTCACTCCCGAGTATGAGAACCTCACCGCCAGTATCGAAGCCCAAAATGCCGGGGACTTCCTCCCCGATATCTACAGCAAGCATCCTGAACTCGTTGAAGGCTTCCTTGCGCAACGAAAGGCTCTTGCTAAGCTCTACCGCAACCCCGAGGCAGGCGTTCTCGAAGTACCCTTCGGAGGCTTTGCTGGAGCAGGCATCGCCTTCCAGAAGCCTGTTTCGCGTGGCACAGTCTCGATCAACACCACAGATCCAGACCCTGCGACCACACCGATCATCGACTTCGGCGTCCTCCAGAACCCTGCCGATCTTGAGATGCTTGTGTTGAGCATCAAGGCTATGCGGAAGTTCATGGGCAGCAAGTCGATTGCCGTGCGTCAACCTCTGGAGATTCTTCCCGGCGCGAACATTACTAGTGACGCAGCTATCGCCGAGGCAGTGAGAAACTCATTGTACGCAAGCTTTGCTCATCCAAGCGGCACCGCAAGCTTGCAACCCCTGGAGCATGGCGGAGTGGTAGATCCCACGCTTCGCGTCTATGGTCTTGAGGGGCTAAGAGTGGTGGACGCCAGTGTCATCCCGTTAATCCCCGCTTGCCATCTGCAATCCACCGTATACGCCGTGGCTGAGAAGGCTGCGGATCTCATCAAGACTACTTAAACGTGGCTGTGGGAAACGCATGTTCACCGCCGTCATGGGCGTTGGCTCCCGGCGGATAAGGCAGTCATGGCGAAACATGATTCAGCGGAGGTATCGGTGCATAGGTAAGTCTTTGTGTAAAAGTCGAAAATAAATACAATCACCCACGTTGCTCCCTGAACTTCGTTCCAAAGAACCCAGAAAGAGTTGGCTGATGCGCTGCCCAGCGAATGGCTTGAAGACCTGTTCGACTTCACAGTAAGCCACATGAAGTCATGGCTAATGCAAGGCCTCGGCAGATCGAAAGGTTCGAGATGGTTTAAGTGATTAAGCTGAATTAGACTCATCTTCATGTAGACAAGCTCTGTATATATTAACATTGGACGCCCCACACAATTCTGTACCTCGTCTGTCTGTCCGTGAATGGAATCCAACATCCTCTGGGGCATTGGCTCAAGGATAATTCATGACCAAGGTGAGATGTGCACGTCACCAGGAGCCAGGTTAGCCGCATGTCTCACGGGATCTTCAACAGTGCAGGTGAGACAAGGCAATGAGACACTGGACAAGCCGAGTACCGGTACCCAAGTCTGTTCTCCGCATTGGTGACAGCCTTCCGTTTCCGGAGGTCTGCTCCCAGATCTAGGCTTTCCTAGCCTAGTTCTTCCATAATTCTTTCACATTCATTGGGTGTCGCTGAATCGTCTGGTGACGATTTGTGATCTTTGAACGGATGCGGACATCATCCCCGCGGCGGCTTCCCCTTCTCAGCATCTTAATACCGATGAAAATCTCATGCAGACGAAGCGCTTTGTTCATTACGTGGATGATCGGGGGCTCGCGCCGGTGCACCAATGCTTATACTGTCTCGTTTGTTCCGGCGCAAGCCAACGAGGCAGTGTCTCGGTCGCCACTTTTGCCAGAAACTTAATCCTTGCATAGATATTGGGAGTGAGCCCCGCAACCCTGTCTTGAAGTCTCAACGTCATTTTGTTCGTACACGACTTCCGGAGCCGAAGGAATCATGAGGAAATCCCACGTCCTCGCGGCGTTGGCTGCCAGCGCGAGAATGGTGACCGGGCTTGGCTATTCGAGCTTTCCAAACTGCGCAGTAGGTTTCGACATCCTCTGATGACGTGCCAGTGCGAAAATGGCTCACATCTTGCCAGGTTATCTGTGTGATGGACGCATTGCCAAGGTCGCCATGCCGCGCGCTCGACGCCGCTTGCCTCTGCGCCGACACCACTTTCACGGATCTAGTCGCGCCTTGCATCAAGGTGAAATGCACAATGGCAGAGCGTTTGGGTGAGAGCACTTCAGCTTAGCAGGGGCAGACTTGTTGCTAATGTTGGACGTAGATTCCGTGAGAGTTTCGGCAACTGCATGTGGGGTAACAGTTGCGGACAACACGGCCCTTCCGCGTTATCTCACTGGCATACTGTTTGCATTGCCAACTGTGTTTATCGGCATCAGAATACTAAACAAAATCTTAAATCCTCTTCCTTGGGGCGCAGATGATTTCATGGCGATCATTGGATACGTCAGTTGGCCCAGTATGATACTCTCCGGGACTTTGCTGATGCAGGCAGCGCAGGTTTGCACTATTCCTTTGGTGCCCTTGATTTATCGATGTGAGTGATTCAAAACCCCTCGCTGTTGTAAATTTGGCTGACCGTTTTAAAGCCTTGAACATCGGCCTCGGAAATCCTGTGTGGACAGTTACGCCCACCAAGATGGTTGAATTCCTTCAGGTAAGCAGCCGCTTGATAAGACAATCACTGTAAAGTTTATGTTAGGACAGCGCAATGGCTAATATTTGAAAACCTCAAGATGTTGTTTGCGACACAAATTCTCTACGTTGTAGGGCTCATGACCCTCAAAGCATCAGTGCTGTTCTTCTTTCTTCGAATTTTCCCAACACGCGGCTTCCGAACAATCATTTGGGCCACCCATGGTCTCAACTTTCTCGTCGGACTCATTTACATAATCCTGACCTTTGCACAGTGCCGACCCCTGTCGCTGTATTGGACAGGCTGGGATAAGAATGAGAGCTACAAGAACGAGAGATGCCTCGACTTTAACAGATTCATCTTGTCAAACGCCATCATCAACATCATCCTGGACGTCTGGATGCTGATTTTGCCGTTGACGCAGCTTTACAAGCTGAATTTGATTTTGCGGAAAAAGATTGGAGTCATGCTGATGTTTAGTGTGGGATTGTTGTGAGTTAACATCCATCAAACACATCACTTCATCACTAACAAAATCCAGCCTTACTGCCGTCAGCGCCATTCGGATCCACGCAATGGTCCGCTTCATGACAGATAGCAACGTAACATGTGAGTCCGAGTCCGCGAGTCCGCGACATGCCCATCATTTCAAGATGCTGACCGAAGTCTTAGCTCAAGCACTTTGGGTCTATGTCTGGACGTTCACCGAGCTCTGCGTTGGCGTATTTGTTGCGTGCATGCCAAACGCCGGTCAACTGTGGAGAACACTGTTCATGAAGCCAAAGGCAAAGGCGATTGGAGAGTCCAAATCCAGGCGACACTCTGCGTATGGAGCAGAGATGGTCTCGTTACCGGAACAGAGTCAGAAGCATAGAGAAAATTCGGTCGCGTCATGTAGTGAGAGATCAGAAAACGCTGTTCCACAGTCTACTCACTCGCCGGTCTGACACCTTCCGGCGCATAGCGTTGTACATACTCATCATCAACTGCCAGTACATACTCATCGATTGATGATCCCAGATAGTGATACCTATAAAAAATCTAATTAGGCGCTTTCCTCGTCATCGCTACGCTTCTTGTTCAAGTCGCGATCCACCACATCGTCGAGCACTGCCAACCCTTCCCTCTCGGCGCGAACTCTTGCTCTCTTCAACCGACGAGTATCCGACTCCGTCTTCCTCGTAACCCACCACGTTATGCAGGTGATGATGGCACAACAGCCAACTAACGCCATCGCAGCAGCAAAACTGGTCTGATAACGCGGCGCGTACTTCGATCTGAAAATCTGAGGGCCGATGGCGCCACCAATCTGGCCGTAACTGTTCACAAACCCAATACTGAACGCAGAACCTGTAGCTCGAGAAGTGGTTTGCACACGCCAGGGCCACATGAGCGGGAAAAACGCGGCAGTGAAGGCATTTCCGATGAGGGTCGCAGCATAGACGGCGCCGTTGGAGGGGTATGCAACGAGAACTCCATAACAGGCAAGAATAACGGCGAAAACCCCAAGAGGGTACAGAGGTCTCGGAATGAGACCCTTGTCTGCGAAGAAGCCGGTGACGCCAATGACAAAAATTGCTAGTATTGAGATGGGCAGGTTGAGCAGCTGAGCCCTGGCAATCGTGGTGAATCCGAGGTTTGCGATAACGGTTGGCTGGTAGAAGCGGACTCCAGAAGTGCCGACGGTGAAAGTAGCCCAAATGGCAGTGAAAAGCCAGAGTCGACGATCCTTAAGCGAGTCAACGATTTCACTCCAATTGAAGTTCATCTCCTCGGCCCTCGGTGCGTTTGCTGGTAGTCGGGCTTGGATGAAGGCCTTTTCCTTGTCGCTCAACCATTTGGCGGTCGGTGGGACTAGTTGTGTCAGTAGGTACCCTTTGATGTCGAGGCGGTCAACGGAACCTACAATCAGGAAGTAAGAAGTAGACAGCTGTTCCTAGTACGATGGTGATAAGGCCTTCCACCAGAAATAGCCTGGAGATGCTGTTGGTGCTCTAATCACTTTCGTTGGATTACTGATAACAAGACTTACCACTGCCATCCTGAAAGCCCTCTGCTACCGGAAACCGTGTCAAAAGCAAAGGCTAGAATACCGCTGAAGATCCCAGACAGATTCCCTAGAACATCTCCAGTAATGGTCAGTCTCAAGTTCAGCTACTTGTTCTAGGGCCTGATGCTCACAGAAATAAAGCAGACGGATGGACATTTCATCGGGTCTGTACCAATATGTCATCTGAAGAATGACTCCCGGGAACATTCCGGCCTCAAACTAAAGGATGGGAAAAATTAGCATCAAACTCATTGGGAAGTTTCATGGGTTATATACTGCTCCGAGTATGAACCGTGTTGCATAAATGCCGCCCTTGTTGCTGACGGGCACATGGCAAAGCAGAGCAATGCCCCACGAGATCATGATCCTTGACTGCCAAGCACTCGGTCTGAACTTCTTCAACAAAAGGTTCGAAGGCGCTTCAAGAACGATGTATGGAACCTTTTTTGCGTCAGCATCTCCGCACCTTTCACGTCCCGGGATGCATCTTACATAGTACAAAACGTTGAGCAAATTGTACTCATCCGACGTCATGTCTAACTGCGTCATGATGTTCCTAGAAGTCCCCCTGTTCATGATTCGCGCGTTTGATATATTATCGGCGTCAATGTTTTTCATCAGAAACAACAGCGAGCAAATTGTCATGATGCGGAAGTCGACGCGCCTCATGAGGGCCTTCTCCTCCGCGGCAGTGAGAAGTGACCGCGCCCGCATGCGTTCAGCGTCGAAGCCGGAGACATCGCTGACTGCCGTGGTCTCGTCCACTTGCTCTCCGCGCCTGGCAAATGTCAGTCCGTCGGCTTTGCTGGGCTCGCCATGGTCTGGCAATGACTGGGTCGGCGTCGATATGTCCTTTGAGTCGGCCATATTGGGTCAATACGATGACTCTGGTATCAAGAAAGCTTCAACGTAGAATGCAAAGGTCGGGTCATGGAAGCGGGAAAAACATTGCCGTTCGAGTTTTGATGGCATGGATGCTAACCTCATCGATTTGGCGATAACCGACGTGCCAAGAAATGCATCATCCTCAAAATCACAATGACCAACGGAAATAAGCCGAGCTCAGATACAAATCCCGATCATGTCATCGAATGCTAGAATCGCGAGCAAGGTTTGTACGAGGGGCTGATTCGCTGCCTCTTCTTCAGCGTGGGATGGAGCAGGCGTTCGGGCTGCAACTCCGCGATAAATCCTCCATTTCACTCCAGAACGATCCTTTCGTGGGGGCCGCTCAACCAGGGCAATGGACATCCAAACCGCGTTTGTGGTCATTGAGTGAGGTTGGTTACAGTGAGCGGGCGACGTCCGACGACAATCCTTGCATTCGCAATCGGACCCCGCGATGACGAGATGCGGATGCCGTGCCCCATGCACACCCATTTCCACCACGACGGGCCGAGTACGGAGAATGTTTATCTGTCGGAAACTAAATAGTTAACGACTCAAAGATGCTATTGTGGGTTTATGAAAAGGCCGAACGGCGAATCGCATGAAGTCATCTCGAGGGACAATTCCAACCTAAAGTCTTAGTATTCTATCGTGAATCGTGATCAGAAAGCTAGACATGGCGGCAGCCGTCCAACGAGCACCAGCTAGCGAGCACAAGACCTCGCTACCTGTGTACCATCAAGTCCCCGAGACAAAACATGAACGTGAGTATGCATGGAGATAGCTTTCACCTAGAAGTCCTTCGCTCATACCTCAGCTTGCAGTGGAATGGGCAGACCTTGTAACTCTGGATCTTTCCAAGTTCGACCAACCGGGCGGCAAGGAGGCGTTAGCCAAACAGCTATTTGATGCCATTCAAAATATAGGATTTTTCTATATCGTCAACTTTGGACTCAGTCAAGAAGAGGTGGACCGTCAATTTGCCATCGGCAAGTCCGTCTTTGAGCTGCCAACGGAAGAGAAGCTCAAGTACCGAGCTGACCTCGAGAATGGGGGTTACAACGGTTACAAACCGCTGGGTCTCAGGGTATGTTTGCTATGCTCAGAATGATTGACGTGTCGCTCACAGGAGTGCCTCCAGGAAGTCCGTCCAGGAGTGTTTGACAACACCGAGATCTTCAACATCCCAAAGTTCATCCCAGCCTTTGAGCGTCCTCAGCCAAACGTGATCAACGAGAACAAGGAGGAGATCGAACACTTCGCTCGCCACATTCACAACAATATTGTGCAGAAACTTCTCACTCTCTTCGCAATCATATTGGAACTTCCAGAAGATTACTTCGCGGGCCAACACAGATACGACGAGGCCCTGTCAGACTGCCACCTGCGATACATGAAGTATCACGCGCGCGATGATGAGACGAATGCAAAGCTCGAGAACGTCTGGGTCAAAGGTCACACTGACTTCGGAAGCCTGACCCTTCTGTTCCGACAACCCGTCGCAGCGTTGCAAGTTCGTGGGAACGATGGCGGTTGGAAGTGGTGAGTTTCGGGCCTATGCACTTCTTCGAAGACATAGCTAATCTGATGTGACAGGGTCAAGCCGTATGATGGAAGCATCACGGTCAACGTGGCAGATGCTCTGGAGTTCCTCACCAATGGCTTCCTCAAGAGCAGCATCCACCGAGTCGTGGTGCCGCCTCCTGACCAAGCTGGCATTGATCGCTTGGGCGTTCTCTACTTTGTTCGTCCCGAGGATAGTCTTGAGCTGAGACCGGTGCAAAGTAAAGTCCTTGAGCGACTGGGATATGACTCGAATGCCAACTCGGAGTTGGCTGGTATCACCGCAGGGGAGTGGGTCAAGGCTAGAGTTCGGGCGGGCGTCAACAAGAACAAGCAAGCGAGAAGCGAGATCTTTGAGCAGGAGATTGTGAAAGGCGTCAAGGCCAAATATTACGACTAGCTAAAGGTTTGACTGTCGCAAAGGGTCTGAAGTGGAATCTTTATTGGTCATCGTTGACGTACTTATCAAACACATCTGCGTAAAACTTTTGTCCAACATCCCGATGACTCCGAATCTTCGTCCGCAATTGATTCTCACCCCACGTGTCATACTTGCCTTTCAGGAAGGCCGAGTCGATCTCCCTCCCTTCCTCGGACTCTAGCGATAAACCTCTGATCTCGGGCTTCTCGAAATGTGCTCTCAACGTCCCGACAGCCTCCTCTTTGGTCAAGCCTCGCCTGACACCTTGGAAGAAGGGCACGCTGTACCTTTCCAGAGAGCCAGAGAGCACGCGGTGCGTCGTTGCTTTGCAAACCCCGTTCGTAACAACCTCAAAGGCCTGGCCGATATTCACCACGAAGGACCCTGGTACGACAGACACGTCGATCCAGTCGCCGTTCTTGTTGAGGGCTTGTAGACCCTTAATGTGTGGCGGTGAGGCCTGCAGTAAGAATGTCCACCATCCTGAAGAGTCTTTGTGAGGTCCAACACCCTGGCCTCCAGCCTGGCTCTCGGGAAGTCCTGGGTAGCGAACCAGCTTCAGCCGATGCTGGTCCGATAGGAACGGCAGAAAGGTATCTGGTGGCAGCGAGAGCGCCTTTGCGACCAGGTGTAAGAATCTCTCGCCGAGCCCTGTCATCTCAGCGATGTAGGCCTCGATTATTGGACGCAGTTCGGGAAAACCAGAAGGCCACTGCACTCATCAGCCAAGCTCAATCCTCATCGCAGCGATAACCTACCTGGTTAGGGCCCCTGAGTCGCTCTCGCGGAGGCACACCCTCCCTCCACAAATTTTCAAGCTCAGTCGCGAACTCGACTTGCTCTCTACGATCGCTCTTCCCAGCAGTAGTCTCTGACCCATCCCCACTGTATCCCAAGAAGTGCGGTGAATTCCTCAGCGCAATTTCATTCTTCGCTCCAGCGGGCAAGGCGAATACTGTTGGCAACGCTTCGACGACATTTGATATCGTTACTTCGGGAACGCCATGGTTGATAACATACAAGAAGCCGACGTTGATGAGCGCATCCCGGAGTTGATCGAGAAGAACCGGCTCCGTCGCGGGGTCAGACGCGAGGGAAAGGTCTATGCGGGGTATCTCGGTGAAGGTGTGTGCTTGCGACATGGTCGTCTCATTTGAACGCTGTCATTAGATGTCATAAAAGTTAGATCAATTTTTCCGGGACTAAGAGATGCATGGTCAAGATATCCCCGGCCACCCGCCCGTCCGAGCGGCGTGTCTGTCGAAGGGTCCGTTGCCGGCGCCGAACCCCGGCAGCGCGGGGTATGGCGCGACCTCGAAGGAAGCGCACGTCATCTGCGAAGCCAGTAGCAACCGGCGAATCAGCGCATTCTGGAGTTCGTCTGACAGCACGTAGTTCAATAGAAGCATCTGACGAACACCGTCTCATGTGAGGGTTACCGCACAAGGGCCGGTCGCGTCCGGCTCCGTGCGGTCTTCAAGGCCTGGGCTACAGTGAACCTTGGCTCTACAGTCGAGGTCTTTGAAGGGTTCAATTCCCCCAATCATGCAAAAATGCTCAGCGTTTAAGACGTGCGATGTGAGTGCCGAGTCATGCCACTGAAGCGTAATGACGACAGTGGGAGTTTGTATGAACTGAAAATCTTCAACCGAGTTGACGACAATAGGAACAAACCCCAAAAAGGACTGCAGTGCTCAGAGGCGGATTCGAACCGCCGTCAACACGGTATCGCTGAGTGATGGAGACCACAACGTATCATCCTAACCAACTAGACGATCTGAGCCACTGGATCTCTCTGTGAGGGACCTGGCAGGGCGACCTGATTCCGAGTTTGTGAGCCCTAGCGGGACCCACAGCGGATTCAATCCCCTGGAGCAGAGCTCGACCCGCCGTCTCGCTCAGCGTGAGCTTGCCCAAGTCGAGATTCAGTAGTTGAGCAGTATGTTCCGACGGCAAGTTGATGATGCAATGTAAAGACTCTTCTCCAAAGGCGTGGTATCTCATTTCACCTGCAAGAGGTGTGTACCCACCTTCGGTGCTGGATAGTGTTGCATCGCAGGTTTCCAGCGCGGTCTCCTAGCGGTGGAACAACCGAATCGCTTGTTTGATGTGTTCATGAACCGCAAGCACCCCACATGTTGCTTTTGGTGAGATGATTGCCAGCAATACTATTGTAAATTGCATAAATTCCGTTGATCTGTTGGGGCTCGTTGAAGAATCATAGAGGGAAAGCTCCCTCACTGTGCATCGTGTGACGTGATATGAAGCTCATGCGAGCTTTGAACCGTCCGCTTGCTTTTGGATGATCTGAAAGGACAAGTTTCTACGTTTAGACAGCATGTGTTCGTCGTATCCAAGACGTCCTTCCAGGCATAGTCAGCTGGCGGCAAGCCTACCGGCGCCACGCTCATCCTCCAAGGCGGCTCCTCGGAGGTTTCGAATCGGCCAAGCCGATCCGCGAGCTTGATTCAACCACCATGTGTCATGGAAAGTGTTCCGTCGGGACCGCGTCCAATCACAACTCACACAATTATTTATGCCTCACTCCCCAGATTGCGATTTAATATCCAGGGACATGAGCTTCATGATGTCACCGCCCTGGGCCGTTCTACAAAAGAACCCTCACTCGATAAGATAACACCGCGAGCTAGGTTATGCCTAGCTGACGTGCCAGAACCTAATTTCCTGAACAGGCAGGTCGGGGTAGCGCTGCACTACCATGAAATGACGGTTCACAATTTCGCGCGCAGAGCCCGCCCCTCGCGAAACCCTGGAATACGGGGGACTTTTGTTCCCGCACCGTGTCTTCGATCGGCACTTCGCATGAGCTCTTGCGCCCGACGCTATCCGTACGCAAATTCACCTGCCCCAACTGCCCTGGACCAACCTCGCGCAATAAGCAAAGGGACCATGGCCCCCAATGCCGACATTGCCGATGCGGGGAAGTGCCCGGTAGACAAGCGAATAAACAGCGGTTCACCGTCGAGATCTCCACGTCCACAACGTGTGCCGTGATCCGGTCACCTACTGTTGTGACATCAACGCGAAAGATGGCGCGAGTCTTATCAACAGAGTGGATGATGATGATGATGATTGTGATGACAGTGCTGCCTCTTGATTGCGACCTTGGAGGAACCCGCTATATAAAGACCTAGCGCCAAGCCTGTTGGTTCTTGGCGCATCCATCGCGACCAACAACGGGATCACTGAAGCTCCCTTCGCCATGCATCTCAAGTTCGTCAGCGCACTGTTGGCGTTTGGGACTCTGTCCCAGGCGACCTTCAACCAGGGCGCCCTCAATGCCTTCAACCGCGAGCACCCGCGACGACAGGGCCACACGCGCATCCCCTCTCCCGCGCAGCAGCCCGTCGGGAAGCGCGACACGTCCAAGTTCTTGACTGAGAAGTCCAAGAAGTTTGTCGTGAACGGCACCGCGATTCCGGACGTCAACTTTGATGTTGGAGAGTCCTATGCCGGCCTGCTGCCCATCTCTCAGGACCCCAATGAGGAGAGGCAGCTGTACTTTTGGTTCTTCCCGAGCACGAACCCCGATGCCGGCAAGGAAGTTCTCATCTGGTGAGTCGTCTCGCGTTAGATGCGAAAAGAAGCTTCTGACACGAATCCTTCAGGTTAAACGGCGGACCGGGATGCAGCTCCCTCAGCGGTCTGATTACCGAGAACGGCCCGTTCCTGTGGCAGGATGGCACCCTTGCGCCCACACCCAACTCCTACAGCTGGACCAACTTGTAAGCCAGACCCGCGATGCATCGCATTTTCTCCTCAAACTGACCTGCAACCCCAGGACCAACGTGATCTGGGTCGAACAGCCCGTCGGCGTCGGCTACAGCCAGGGCACGCCCAACATCACCAACGAAGTCGAGCTCGGCCTCCAGTTCATCGGCTTCTGGCGCAACTTCATCGACACCTTCAGCCTCGAGGGCGCCACGACCTACATCACCGGCGAGTCCTACGCCGGCTACTACGTGCCCTACATCGCCGACGCCTTCATCACCGCCGAGGACGACAAGTACTACAAGCTCGGCGGCGTCGCCATCAACGACCCCATCATCGGCGACGGCACCCTGCAGCAGCAGGCCGTCATCTACCCCTTCATCGAGTCCTGGCAGAAAATCTTCAACCTCAACCAGACCTACATGAACGCCCTGCGCTGGACCCACGAGTACTGCAACTACTCGAGCTACCTCGACGAGTACGCCACCTTCCCGCCCAAGGGGCCCTGGCCCGTCCTGCCCGACCCGTACAGCGACCCCTCCGGCAACTACACGTGTGACATGTTTGACTGGGCTTACGAGGGTGCCCTCGACGCGAACCCGTGCTTCAACATCTACCACATCACTGACACGTGCCCCTTCACGTACTCCCAGCTGGGCATCGTGAACCAGGTACGTGAACCCCCCGCCCATCGGCTTGTCCAACAAAGATGCTGACCGTATTTCCGCAGGGTGACTACAGCCCCAAGGGCGCGCAGGTCTACTTCAACCGCACCGATGTCCAAGACGCAATCAACGCGCCCCACGTCGCGTGGTACCAGTGCACCCCGAAGAACGTCTTCGGCGGCGGCGACCCCAACTCGAACTCGAGCGACACCTCCCCGGCCGCCGCGCAGAACGAGGTCCTGCAGCGCGTCATCGAGCACACCAACAACACCATCATCGGCGTCGGCCGCCTCGACTACATCCTCCCGCCCAACGGCACGCTCTTCGCGCTCCAGAACACCACCTGGAACGGCCTCCAGGGCTTCCAGAAGTACCCGCAGGACCAGGAGTTCTATGTGCCCTTCCACCCCGAGTACAACGACGGCCGTCTGAGCGAGGCCGGCGTCGTGGGCGCGTTCGGTTACGAGAGAGGCCTGACGTATTACGAGGTCCAGCTGGCAGGTCACGAGTTGCCCGGGTACACGGCTGGGTCTGGGTACCGTGTGGTTGAGCTGTTGCTGGGCAGAATCAAGTCTTTGGGTACCGTTGAGGACTTCACTACCCAGAAGGGTGACTACCAAGGGAACGCGACGATTCCTAGCCTCTGAGCTGTTCAAAAGCAATGGCCTGTGATATACAATTCTATGTAGATATTAGTACCATACGTACGAAAGAGAAATACCTTTCAAAGCATGCTTGCGCGACCAGTCACCGACCAACAGAAACATGTGATGTACACGGTTTAGTATTATCAATACTAGTTTTAGGTATTAGTAGACTGCAGTCATGAGCCATTGCCCTTTCAAGCTTTCGACACCTTGCACTGAGCCGTTGCGGCAACAGAAGGATCCGACTCCGAGGTGGCCTTCAGGGTCACCACAGCTGCGTCGGCAGCATCTGCACTTGCACCAACCGACACAAACGCCGTCTTAACTTCACCAAACTTGGCTGTGACCAAGACGTTAGGAACCTCGACGCGCCAGCCAGCTCCCTCAACCTTGGCGCTCAACCTGTAGACGTCCGATGCGAGGAACGCCGAAACATCCTCCGGGTGCTGTGCGTCATTCGGGTCTACCGCTACATATGCGCCGCTATTGCTAAGCTGGAAGGAACACGAGACGCCTTGGGTCGTGGCCGTGTTCTGTTCAAGAGCCGTCACCTGGCCCTCTTCAAGGGATATGTCGTGAACGCTAGCACCCCCCTCGCCGCCGATGGAACGGACTGCAACGGTGTAAGACAAGACGCCGTCGTCGTTCCGGTGGCGGTCAATGATGTAAAAATGAAGATCGTTGGCCTCGTCGATGAACTCGAACTCGCTGCCGGAGTTGGTGCCCGCGTGGAACAGCGCGTCCGCGAGCTGCCGGTAGTCGCCCATGGTGATCATCGCGATGGAGCCGTTGGGCCGGTGGAAGTCGACAAGCTCAATGTCTTCGGGGTGCGCGTCGATGACCCACTGGAAGGGCTGGTTGTCTTCGTTCTTGGACTTGCTGATCAGGACGCCGGAGTCGGGCGTGAAGCTGTCCGATCCCATGCGGTCGACAACCTCGATGTCGTAGTTGTCCCAGCTTCCGCCGTCGCAGAGTGGCTCAGTTTGGATATCGCAGGCCGGCGACTGGTCAGAATCCATGATGATGCGGATTCCCATGAGGCCGTCACCAGGATCCACGGATCGTGCTGTCAAATCTGCGACAGCGATTCCTGAGGTAGCAAGTGCCTCGCGAGACAGCCAAAGAATATCGCCTCGCTCGATGAGTCCTAGTTGATACTTGTCTCGGAGGGTGTGGAGCGAACCCATCGAAGAGCCTTGCAGGGCGGGGATCTGCCACCTGGTGTGAGGTCCACCGGGGCCGTTGAAAGAGCCTCTAGACATCATGGACCAAATTCCGGTGTAAGCTCTGCGCAACGGAGTGCCGTATGGATTGTTATAATTATCGCCAATGTCGAGCAAGTGACTCAGCTCGTGAGCATAGACAGCCATGCCGGAGCTCTCGCCCTGAGTAGACGAGCCACCACCGGCGTTGGGCCACAGTGTGGAAGCCGCGGCCCAGGATGTCCAAGGAACGTAGCGAGTACGCGCCCAGTTTGGAAGAGATGTGTTACCAGTCTTGGGAGGACCGAATTCATCAGGAACATCCTCAGGCCCGTCAAACTTCATCTCGCCGAACTCCTGCCATGTCGAAGACTCGTCTTTGCCCGCAGAGAGAATGAAAACCAGCTCAAAAGCATCGGCCGTGTCGTTACCAACGTCATTGCGCCAGGCTGACAGCGCATCCGTCCGGATGTTGAGGTTACACGTCTCTCCAGTCGGACAGGCGCCAGGATTCATGTCATTAGACACACCATACTGATATCCGTTCGCAGGTAGCTGATATGCGCCAAAGGCAGTGAGATCGACACCGAAGCGCCCAGCCGAGTCCTCCATCCAGTATTCGTGGAGCGTGTGTCCCTGGTTGAGGTCATTCGGCGTGTTGAGGAGGTCGCGGTAAAAAGTCGGCACATTCTCGCGGGCAACATCGGCGGCAGCGGGTTGCGGGTTGTTGAAGATGGTTGAATGCGCCGGCTGACTGATCGTGAAGTTGCGGTCGGGATAGTCCACGACGACAAGCGCGATGTTGAAGTTGCGATTCGAGCCCTTGCGGGCCGGGTTCGACCAGTCCGTGCCCGGCGGCTTCACCCAGTCGTCCCACGTCATGTTGTCGGGGTTCACCCAGTTCTGGGGGTCAATTGGCTCGAACGGCGTGTATGGGCCGGATGAAGCCGAGGCCACAGGCCCGGCGAAGAGGGCCCCGATCGCGGCTGCGAGGACGGCCGAGAGGCCGCTGCGGCCGTCGTTGAGCTTCATCTCGTCGGTGATGAGGCGGAAATTGACGGGCGATGCGCGAACGATCCACCACCAAACACTGGCGCAGGTCAACAGAGAGAGGATGAAGATGCGAATGCGACGGAAACTGGACGACGAATAAGTATGTTTACTGCGGATGGACGCCAAGACAATCCTGCGGACCTTCTTTCTCTGACCTCATGATGGTTCGTTCCCCGCTCCAACGTTATCTCCTTCTCATTCCATGACCCCGGTTCCTGCATCTTGGTCGCACATGGCGGTTCACCAGGCGGGGAGGTGCGCGTTGAGTGCCAAGAGGATCTATCCTGCTGGCCGTCCTTGTGCGATGGCACCTGCTGCTTCAGGAAAGCATCCATGTCCACTTGGACGCGTCGATCAGCGTGCACATGGGCTGCTCGCCAAGAGTGATCGGATGAGTCGGTTGCAACACCGAAGAAGACTCAACAAGAGATTTTGAGGAGAAGAACGTTGCTTTTATGTTTCTAACTCTCGGTTGAGGAAGTCAGTGATATGAAGGGAGCAGCCCGGGATGCATCGGAAGGGAGGCCCGGCGTCATGATAAGCCAATCGTTTCAGACTGCAGAACGGGTGGCTGGGGAAATGGGCCTACCAAAGTGGGGTATTACAAGAGTGGGTCCTGTCGGGTCCGAGTCCGACCCCCGGTGCCGGTTCGGTCTCGCTTCGCCGCCCAGGGGTATTGTCTTCCGCCGGCCTACCACCTCCTCTCGGCCTGGAAAACACCTGTCATGGCGACGGTGTCGTGGCGGTTTTGACAATTCGATTGAGTTCATCGAGAAGAATGTATCGATTGTATCAATTCGGCACCCTTGTAATTAGCAGACTAAGACTTATATAAGCCACATTTTCACTCCGTCCTGAGCATCAAGCTCCCGATCAACACAAGCACCGCAAGCCAAACGAAAGTGAGTCCAGTCGCGCAAACATATTTGCCGGAAAGTAACCGCCCCAAATCTCATCAACTGGTCAACCCCAACTCGCTTCACTAAGATCCCCACTCCTGAATAATGAATGTCGCCGTCATTCCCAGCGACGAATCTGTCGTCATCTTCCAGTTCGTCATCTTCCGGATCGTGATCCTCCAGTTCGTCATACTCTATTTCGTCATCATCCATTTCGTCTTCCGTTTCTACATTGTCTTCCGCGTCATCGGCATCTTCAGCATCGCCAACCTCGCCAATCTCGCATCCCAGCTCGTCGAATTTAACTCCAGATGCCGCCAGAACAAGAAACTCGCACGGTACCTCGTGATGAGATGGTTGAATGTCCGGAAAAGCCTCAATCACCGCATTACCCCGGATACCATCAATGGCAATCACCCAGCCTTCCTTTCCGGGCATCGAAATCAGAGTGCCTCGACAAATATGTCCCTGGACGGGGATCTTGTCAGATATCAGCTTCGACCTTTCATCTGGTCTCCATGTACTGGCCAGCTGAGCTTTTTGATACTTGTCACCGTTGTCCGGCCCTATAGCCATGTTCTTAAACTTCTCGTTCAGAGGCACAGTCTCTTCCGGTAACCATCCACGGTATGGGTTCTCAAATTGAAAGCCGATGTTGCCCACGCTGTGATCAGTCACCTTGTAGAACCGATGACGTTCGCGAAACCTCGGTACAACTTGAATAGGTACGTCCAAATAAGTCCAGGACCAGCTTGGAAAGGAGGTTTCCTCTTTTTGAGGTGTCTTCTGAATCGTAGTTGTTGCTTCGATTTGCCTTTTGTCTGTCTCCTCAGTCTGATAATCCACCACTTTGGGGCCACCAGCCACTCGCCATGCAAGCTGCTCTTCCAAGGAATTCGACCACAACCCGTGGGCGTACTCCTGGCGCAGGATGTCTCGCGAGAGCTTCGCGATGCCCCACAAAGCATTGGACTTGTCGGAGTGCTTGGTGAGTTTACAGGAGGTATAGGTTTCAACCATGTTCTTCCATAGCTTCTCGAGAGAGCCTTCGGAGACTTTCACAGGCGAGCGCACGGAAATGTCGGCCTCTTGTAGGCGTTGGCGCCAGTATCGGTCTATGGTAGCCTTTTCGTCGATGGAAAGCGGGAACCCCGCAGGAAGAGCTTCGCACGCGGAGATGGTTGCACAGTCCCAGAACAGTTGGTCCCGGCCGAATTGGAGAAGGCGGGGAGAAAGCATTCGTTCTGTTCACATCAGAAACCGCAAACAGCGAAACAAAGAATGAGGAAGGCAATACCCTGGAAAACCCAGCCACGGGTATAGAGAGGGCTTCCAAGGAGCTCTCTGTCCCAGAGATCGGAGGAGACTATTCTCCAGCTGCGGTTGCTGAATCTGCGGGATAGGCGTTCAGACACAAATTTGGCGGGCAGCACGTCGTTTGCGCGCACTCGGAATAGTCCGCCATGGCAATCTTTCGAATCAGCAGCAGCGAGGTTGCAATAGGAGTTCCGGTACACCTTGTGCATGAGCTTCGCCTCAGCCTCCCAATCGTTCGTATCGTTTTGGATGATACAAACAGAGTCAATCCAGATGTAACGTATTCCAAGGCAGCGAGCGATTGTAATAGCCTCTGAGAAGTTCTTGTTGCTGCAGATATCTTTCTTCGAAGTCTCGGAAGAAGGGTTTTCCCATGGGATCCCAGTCGATGTGAAGTTGGCTAGTTTCTCTGCCGTGAGCTGAACAAACTCCGATCTGCCCCAGCAATGACTTAAAGTCATATAGCGTCTGTCCTCGTCTTCGACCGTCTCTTCCTTAGTTCGAACTATGCGGATGTGCGATGGTGACACAGCGCCGGGGATGCCAATGTCCAGAACGCGGTTCGGCATGAAGCCGCGATCGAGGTGACGGGCCTTGCACTTTGGGTGATTTTCTACGCAGTCGTGAAGCCAAGTCTTCATCTGCCTTCGAGATGCTTCGGAGTCGGTTCTGTCACCAAAGACTCCCACACTCGGTATGGGGCCTAAATCTGAGAGACGTATTAGGATCTGGTCTTGATGTAAAAGAAACAAAAGACGCAAAACACAAACCTTCTTCAGGGAACAAATCAAAGCGTACTTCTGGAAGCCGGTCGGTCATGTCTGCTTCATGGTCCAGACTGGAGACTGGACGGAAAGTGATTGAGATGTAGCTCTTTGTCTCCCTAGCTTGCGCAGTCTCACGCATGGTCCACCGATAGAAGGCGTCAACAGGAGGCTTAAAACTGAGTGCATTGACAAATCCACCTAGCTTTCGACAAAAAACGCAGTCTGATATTGCGGCATCATTGAAGGTATCGGCCTTGATGTGATGATAGTCCCATGTCTTGTTTGATTCGAGGATGTCACCCCGACAATCTTGGCAGATGGCCATCGTGCGCTAATGTTAGTTTTGATGCAATACGTCGCCTGAAGTGTGATGGGGACGTGAGAAAGTGAGGAAGCTGACAGACGAGGCTCTGACTTGCTTTTTCGGAGGTGTCAGCATGTAGGGGGCGCTGCAGGGATGCTGGGGGTCCGGGACCGGGGAGCCAATCTTGGCAGGCCACGAGAAGTAGGTATTTGTACGTCCGACGAGACATAGTTTCTTTACGAGCAAGCCGCATCTCACATATGTCACCTAATTCTTCTGAAAATCGGGGTCTGTGGGCTTTTTGGACTGGATTATCTCCTTTACTTTATCCTGGTACACAAATCCATGACCACATACAACATCCAGGTATGGCAGAATCTTTGACTTGCTACCTACCGGATTCGACTAAGCGACCAAAACCAGATGCGTCAAACTGGATTCTTCGAAAATCAAGACCATCCCGAGCCTGCATCAAAGCCTCGTTGTAGTTCTCCTTCGCGTATATATGAAATGTTTTACAGTAAGCCACCATCGGATAATCTGTGAAGGGCTTTACCACCACAAAGCCGCGCGTCGCCTGCAGCATTTCTTTGATTCTTGGACCTAGTACATGGGCGTCTGTATGCTCTGTTTCTTTCTTGGGAAGCGAAGTATTCGACATCACCGGTGCTGAATGCGTTCTGTTTGCTTCATGTCCAGCATTTGGTCGCTCAGCCTTGCGGATAACCTCGTTCAAGACCTCAAAGCCCAGACCACGTTGATCGAAGTCAAAACTCGTTACTGCGGCAATAACTCGGAGGCCTAGCGAGCGCTGAAGTGGTGTCTGCTCTTCGATACGCCTCATGCCGGCGTCAAAGAAGGCTACGATGTTGGCCGGCAGAACGTCCGCCACCGTTGGGTTGATGACGTCTGCAGGATGAGCTCGATGAATGTTGTCGAGGCGTAAACGGGCAAGACTGATGTTCATCTCGGCCTGTTCCACAAGTTTCCCCGGGAGTTCTCTGAGTACTTCGTCGTTTTGCGGTTCCATAAGCCGTTTGCCTAGCTCGGAATGTGGAGGCAGGTTCTGGGTACTGCTGCGTAGATTGAGGTTTCCGTGCTCTCTCTCGAGGTCCCAGTCAATGTATCGATTGAATTGATTATGGTGATAAAGGTTAACCTCAACGTATTCGAACGGTTGGACGAATGTAGAAGGATCACAGCTTCATGTTTGAGAAAGGCGTCAGCATTGGTTCCACCCAGCAGTTGTCAAAAGATAGCGAGGATGAGAGTACAGAATCACGAAGTAGGGACCTTGCACCTAATGGGATTGATTGAATGTGGAATCGAGAGAAAGACGTTGGGGGGAAAGGAATGCGTTCCATGAAAACTCACCCAGAACTGCACAGCTTCTTGTTGTACCTGCAGATTTGACACAGTACATGTGCCTTTTTTGGCTCTATGCCCTTTTCCGCACAACCTTTGCATTTCCAATACACAATGATCTCCGTCCCATTCTTGGGGCATGAGTCGCATTTGACGTTTCGTGGAAGCCTCTTGAGGCTAGGAACGCGTGATGTTAGGAAAATCTTCAACCCGTTTGCTGCCATGTCAGAGAGCTCCTTTTCAAGTAACAGGCTGGCGGCGGCACTGCATCTGTCAACATCATCAATGACCAGAAAGACGCGAGATAGCTTGTTAAGATGCAAGTAAACGGCCTCTCGCAGAAGCTGAATTCGCACGCTTGCGGGGCTGTTTTTCATCTTATCATCGGGGTAATGTTGATGATTCGTCAAGTAGTTCTTGTTCACACCTGTCTGTGTATGCTTGGCTTGTAGTTGCTGCAATATGCTGCGAAGGAAGTTCTCCAGGAAGCCTCCAATGGTGATATCTTCCCGCAGAAAAATGGCGATGACGGCGTCCATTTTGCTGCTGTACATGTGTCGAAGCGCTTTCGTCGCCATTGCAGACAGTGTTGTCTAAAAAGGACCATAAGTCCCCCTGTGATTAACATAAATTGCTCGATGGAGTGATGCATAGCCATTCGCAGCGAACGGACATATTCTTGACTGAAGGCTCTAGAGACGATTTGAATACTCACAGCCTGATGTTGCCGATTCGAAAATTGTGAATGTTCTTGGCAAAGAAAAGAAGCTTTTCTCACCTTTCCAGAGCCCGGAGTTCCAACAAACAATATCATCCAAGTTTCGTTCAGATGCGTGTGCCAACACTGGAAGGTAGCACCACTCAAGATTTCACTCCCAAGTGACGGCCAGGTATCTACTGGTGGTTCCTGCCATTCACTCAGTGCCATCTCCATTTTCTTTTCTACTTTCCGTTCATTTTTGAATGTGTCTTTCATAGGTAAGGAGAGGCTATCCTCAATATCGGTCATCTTCGGGATAGTCGTGCATGAAAATGGTTCAGCAGCACGGCGGCTTCGAACATTGTGATCAGGTTTAAATCGACCGAGCTTAGAGGGGAAAGGAAATAGAGGACCAGCGAATCAGAGGTGTGCCAAGGCAGCTGAATGTCTCACGGGCGCAAAGATCCTTACAATCAAAGCCGTCAGCCAGACACAGCCCATGCAGGGGATGCAAGCAATGCCGGGTCACACAACAGCCCTGGAGAGATTAGAATTATAGGCTCTCGTGCTACAACACTTGACGGCCAGGCTCAGACCATAGGCAGAAAGCAGCCTTATTCGGCTGATTGCATGTCTGGGCTCACACAGATGGGTGGCTGTTACGACGCGCTGCTGCTGGGAAGGCGTGGTGAAGCCAAGCCCCTCAAGGGCCTGCGCCTTGCAATAAACCCCCCTCCCCGTGGTTGGTCTTTAACTCCAAGACGGAGTTGATCAGCAGGCAATTCATCCCTCATAACTTTCATTTTCTGGCTCAACTTCGGCGCTAGGACGCAAAGTCTTTGTAGTTTCTCCCGAGACTTCAGGAAAACCAGCTTCGGCAGCAATTTCTGGGAAAGTGCTATCGGAATCCTACATAATCTCGAAATGCTTGTTCTACCACTCTCCCGATATAGGCTGGCGCAGTTTCCTGCCGGCCTTCCTGTCTGACCGACTCTAATTTCTGGGCATCATGAAGGTCATATATGGTGGGCCCACTTAAAAAAGAAGATGCCTTGTGTAAGTTTGTCGGCTGCCGCCAGCCTTACGCACCTCTGACTGCCAAGCCGGCACGAGTATCCAATGCCCCTGAAATATTGTAAGCGCGGTACTTTATACCCCCTGTAAGCACCATCCACAGGCAGGCCTGTATTTGTGACCAATAGAGGATTTGTGTGTTTTTAGTTCTACACCATCAGGCTGGGAGTAAGTGCGTAGTAGGATGCTGAGCCAGGATGATGTTACAGTAGATCTGGAACGGGGCCAAGTAATAGGCCTTGGAGGGCCATGTACTGCCGGGGCTGAATTGAAGAAGTATCGCGCGACGATTGCGCCCCAAATGGACGGGAAGTGTACCCGGAGCCAGGAGCCAGCAACAAACGCTATCTCTGACCAGGCTGCAATAGTCAATCGAATAGACATGAAAAAGGAGACGCTATCCACTACTTGGAATTGAAGTTTGTGGAAGACTTTGTACTATGATTACCTATCAGCCCAGTCATTCGTTACTTATCTAGAGCTCTTCGCACGAATGATTCTTCTCCAGTATTTCACAGTGCTTTTGAGCACCTGCTGCGGTCTTGTTCTCGCACGACCATCTATCCGCTCGCCAAAAGAGCTTTCACGCCGTCAAGAGGCTCCTGTTGACGACGTTAAGCATCTGTCAGTATGCGGAGTCATCATTGATGAAGTCAACAAAGGTGAGTCAAAGTTATTTAGCGTAGATAGGTAGTGAACGAGGAGATCTGACGACAACAGGATTCGACGCCTTTTATGCGATCGATGCATACGACTGCTTGATGAGCGTTCCATTCCATCAGGCCCCAGCGCTGCGTTTTATCGAATACTACAACACGACGATGCAGTTCCAAAGCACTCTGGTTCATTTAAAGAACCCACCTCCGGGATATCAGCAGCCCGCCTTCGACTTTATGGGCGGCCTCGAAGAACTCAAGCGTAACGTCATAGCGGGATTCTTCACAAGACAGTACGACTTTGAAGTCGCTCTGCAATACCTGGTTTACGCCGTGAACGATGCCCACGTTGACCTGTACGCGGGTATTCTATCTGTGTTCTCATTCGCAAGCCCTGTTTCTCTGGTTTCGGCATCGGTTGATGGGAAAGAGACGCCCAAAGTATATTTTGCAGGTATGCAGGATCTCACATGTAGGGGAATGGACCTTGGCGGGCTTGCTAATCTCTGATGCGCAGACGACATCCTCAATCGCCAGGAGAACAATCTCGAGACCCCGATATCCGCCGTGTCACACATCAATGACGAACCAGTCGCTGAGTATCTCGCAAGATTCGGGTCGCTGCAGTCAGTTGGCATGCTTGAACCCCACGCCGACTGGAACGAACTCATGGATAGCCCTGTCCAAGACATTCAGGGGATATTCAGCATCTTCGCCGGCGCAAGCACTTTCTTTCCGGGCGAAACCATCACATTTTCCTTCGAAGACCCAAGCATGGAAAAGGTGGAGTTACATTGGCTAGCTGTCTACAACATTGCAGAGTTCACAGGCCCTCTAGAAACCCCAGGCGACTTCTACAACTTCTTCGTCCTCGGTCTGCTGCCTGCTTCGTACTATGATGTTCCGCTCCCGGCAGTTTTCGGAGGCCCATCTGGTACGGAAGACGTGTCCGCAGATAGCGCAACAGAAGATGCCCCTGCAGATGGTGCAATCGAAGACGGAGCGCCAGGCGGAGCGTCAGACGGTAGCTGGTACGAGACGAGCTTTCATGCCTTCCCAGCAAATCCAGATGTTGTCCAGGATGATCTCGGTCTTGACGAAGGCGGAATTCTTACCGGATACTTCTATGAAGACATGTCCACAGGTGTGCTAAGTATACCACATTTCAACCAGTATGGGCTCGAGGTGGAGAGCTTTGCCCAGTCGCTTGCAGAATTTATCACTGGAGCAAAGGAACGACAGCTATCACACATCATAATCGACCTCCAGAAAAATGTTGGTGGATCTACAGGCATTGCCCTTCTGCTCTTTCGTGAATTTTTTCCTGGTTTCGATCCATTCGCAGGTAGCCAGCGACGGAGCCATGAGCTCGGCAATATCTTAGGTTCGGCCACGACACGATACTGGCAAAGCCTTGCAGCCAACACTGATGAGAGGTCAGCACTTGTGGCAGACGAGTGGGTAATTGCGACGCGGATAAACGACGAGACTGGAAACAACTTCACTTCATGGGAGGAGTACGAGGGACCCAGACGACAGGGGGATGACGACTTTTCACTCGTGGTAGGTCATCCGCGTTTTCTACTGAAGTTTGTCCGCTGACTTTTGCATCTTTCAGGAACGATATGATCTGAAGAACCCGAGTTTTCATACTGCTGCATTTGATGGATGGCTCCTCACTCGGTATCTGGATGACAGCGAGAAGGATGCTAGAGCGATGTGGAAGCCCGAAGACGTAGTAGTCGTAAGTACAGGACAAAGTTTCTAGGACCTAACGGCACCTTCTAACACCACGCGATCTTCAGCTCACTGACGGGACTTGCTCCTCAGCCTGTGCTTTATTTCTTGAACTAGCAAAGAACCAAGCCGGTGCCCGCACCGTCGTCTTAGGCGGTGCTCCGAAGGCTGGTCCAATGCAAGCAGCGAGTGGAAGCCGCGGCGCACGCGTTTATACTGACAGCCTACTCTATGACGATATGAGCTGGATCGTCAAAAAGAATGAAGCTGTGAAGCCCTTGTTACCTCATAGTCGGAACGACACAGGCATCTTCATTGATCACATGACATTCAACCTCCGTGATCAGTTGCGCAAAGACAACACCTCTTTGCCCCTCCAGTTTCGCTACGACCCAGCCGATTGCAGACTGTATTTTACTCTTGACAATGTTTACAACATGACCACTCTCTGGCATGACGTTTCCCGCGCTGCGTTTGAGGACCCAAGTATTTGCGTGGAGGGCTCAACGGAATACGCTTCACAAGGTGGCAGGGAAAAGCCTCCGCCGGACTCATCTGCAGTTACGCCCCCGCCCCCACGACCTGGGGTGACCTTCACTGTCGACCATGATCCGTCCACCGACAATGGCCTCCCAGCTGGCGACGTTCTAGCCGAGTACAGCCTCAGAATCCCAGACATATGGGAACCGTGCCCTACGGACACAGGCACATGCTCAGCAGACGGCCGACGTTGCCGTACTATAAGATATACTTGCGATGAGGGAATATTCGATGAGATGGCTTGCGCGCCGTCCTGTTTTATTCAACCCGGCAAGGCTTGTTTCGCTTTCAAGGCCGACAAGATTGAAAACTCTTCTCAATCAACAAAAAAGCAGAAGAGAGTTGTGTTGCCGGCCCGCACTCAAAAGAATCATATAAGCCCGCGTCCGTCAGATCATAAAAAGGGGTCTCCAACATCTGCCAAGAACCGCGTCCAAAAGAGAGGATACAAGAGACCCAAGCATAACGAATCAAAATTGTGCTCTGACAGGAGCCAATTTCCAGGCGTCGGTCGGAAGAAAGTGGGGATGTGGCCTCCACGAACGGGCTCTTCTTGATGACTTGACGTTTTAGGTGACTGAGTGTGTAGACCGTGTGTCGAAACTGTCGACTTGGATTTGTGTTTCCTTTGGGGCTCTGGTGTATTCTGGACTGCCGGGGGCGGACAACTGTGGTCACATAATGCACTGGACTCCTACGTAATTCCCTGATAATCAATCTTGATCCTTGTCATTTCATAATTCATAATCTTTCGTCGACAGCGTGCTGGCCACATGAGTTCGCAATGAAACACGTCGCTTGATGAAAGCTGTCTATTTTCCAGATCCGAGTTCCCAGCATGTAAACTCAAGCAATGCGCCAGAAGTGGTGCCAAGAGGACTACTTGAGGGTTCCCCCTGATAAATGAATGGCTCGATAGCCGCTACTCTCGGCACGTCGCCATACAAGCGCGTTGTTAGCGCTGTTCGCTCGTTGGCGAAAAGTTCCAAAACGCTGACGTCGAACAGGACTCGCAGAGAGAGCAGCTCCTGCGTCCGTCTATTCTCGTCGGATCCGTCGACGTATGTGAAAAGTGTATGAGGCGCCGTCTCGTCAACGACGACGACCCCTGTCTCCTTGGTTAATTTGTCTCGTCTTATTGTAAGTCTTTCGCATGCAGAATCGAATTCTATCGTTGCCTCTTGTGCGTTATCTGAAAACTTCAGTCAGCAATCATGATTCTTTCTAGGAGTGGCCGAGTAATACTCGCTACCTCCAAAAGTGATCTTCAGTCCAGCTGACTGAACCTGAGGAGATATCTCGAACGACACAACAACTTCAAGAGTTGAGCATCCCTGGGGAAAGATAAATCCATCTGATGACCTGACCGGTTGTGTAGATCTCCTCAGACCCCTCAGTCTATCATCCGGGACGGCGCAAAGTGTCGTTACTTCGTAGGTAGGCTCGTCGCTTCCCTCCTGAACACCGTCCTGGCGGAGACCGATGGATGATATCTCTTCAAGAGACGAGACAAGAGACTTTGTCACTCTCCTCAGTCTCTGAATCTTCAGAGCTCGTGGAACTGATAGGAACCCAGCCCAGCCTTGCCGCCTTTTCAGCTCGATCGGTAGGTCTTCCTCGACAATCCATCCCACGATAATCCGTTGATTTGTCTTTGGATCCCAGAAAGAGTTGCCGGCGTAGTAGGCTCCATGGTCAAGAGGTCCACCGTACGAGTGCTTCATCCTAGGTTGCCCCTCGTGCGCTTCGATGGTGCCGCACATCCAGAGTTGACCGTGGTCTTTGTCGAAATCTGAGCGACCTCTGCTCTTCTCCGTAGCTAGCAAACCCTCAACTCCCATGACCAGGAAGTCATGCGTCCTGTCGTTGTCCGGATCCTGGAGGCTGAGGAAGTTTGTCACTTCCCAGTTGGCGCCGTGGTCGGCTGACCATCTCGGTGATTGAGAGAAGTTGCAAGGAAGGGATACTAGAGGCGAAAGAAAAGACCACTTCGTAATATCCTCACTGTCAAGTCGGTAGATAAATGGCGTCGGTCCTTGGCCAAGAAGTCCACCGGAGACGATGCCATATAGTGTCTCCTCTGAATCTCCTAGAGCTTTAGCCATGGAAGGCCATGTCGAAACGAAGGGATCTCTCCATCCCGTCACCTTGAGATCTGTCGGTGGACCAGGTAAGATCGGAGTTGCGTGGCGGTCCCAAGTCCTCCCACTATTCATTGATGTTGCCAGACTTAATCCTTCTGATCCATAGTTGTAAGGTAACGTGTGGTGAATAGGGAGTATCCTGGCAGAGGTGTAGAATGTCGTCATCTCCCCAGGACGAAGCTCAACAGGCGATAGACATCCCGTAAAAACACCACCTTGGTCTTCCGTTTCGTTCGGGACGATCGACGGTTCGACAGAGACATCCCATGAGAGTAGGTCGCGAGAGGTTGCGGCTCCCCATTTGATGTTGCCCCATTCAGGAGTATCTGGGTTCCATTGGAAGCCGATGTGGTAACAGTCGTTGGCTCGATCGTAGCCAGGTGCACACGGGTCGTTGAGCCACCCTTTCGGTGCAATCAGGTGGAATTTCGGTCTCCATTTGTTGAATGCATCTTCTTTGTCGAGAAAGACGTCACCGTCGTTGGGTTCCGAAACAGAGGTGGATCTCGAGTGTGCACATGATCCCCCTTCTGAAGCCGAGTTCCCTGAGGATTCAGGATGGGCAGAAGGAGGACTGCTCGGCTGCTCTGAAGACATGGCCAAAAGTCCAATTATCGAATCTGAAATATCAAAGTAGAAACATCAGCTCTGTAGGGTATTTTTGATGCGAACATCCGCTTGATATTTCCGGCAGGTTTGGCGTGTTGCTTTGAAAGGCCCCCATCGGCGCGGGAGCGGCTCGCCGCAATCGTCGCTAAATTGAACTTGCCATTTTCGGACAGTCGCCGATCACGTTCCACCTAGACAGCTGAGCCACTTCGCAACGATAATTCAACCTGTGGCAACAAACAACGTCTGCCCAGAATCAAGGAGCAAGTGACCACTCCGGGATGGTGTGCACTGTGCATCCGCGGAATGTGACTGGTTGTTGCCGTTGAATTCCCATGTTGTGTAACCTGGGGCACGCTGCAGAATTATCGGGCCTACTGGACCAGGGGTTGGTTGGCTGCTAACGTTTCCGTCGGCTAGCAATAATCACACTGGACTTGCAGATGGTTCGGACTCTGAGCGGATTAGCATGTTCGGGGAAGGCCCCGCAAGCTTGTTTTTTTGCAATTCAACTCTCTGCTATTCGCTCGACTCTGGGTTTCTCTGCTCGACGATGACGCTACATCGCGAGGTTTTCTCTCCATGGTGCGTGATTGATTTTCCCCCTCGCCATTCAATACAAAGAAGGGGCCTCCCTGATTGCATAATCGAAAATAGTTAAGCGTTTCAGCACGGAGCGGGATGCCCGCACTGGCACTCCATGTTCTTAGTGCGGAGGCGGCGAAACTTTCCTCATCCCGCACTACTTACTCTCCGACCTCATGCAGCCCGGCCGACGCGGTATGTCTGCCCAACGTCGCGACCAGTCAGCACCATAAGACGGCGCCCCGGCTGACGTTCGTCGCGTGTTTTGTTGCTCGCCATGGGCGATCAATATCAGATCGTCTTGGACCAGACCCTCTCGCGCGTCCTCCAGCCACGCGCGTGCGACCACTGCTTCGTGCGCAAAGTCAAGGTGAGAGATTGCAGGCCGCCCGTCAATAGCCACCCGGCCCGGCTATGTTTATCCCGCCGGCCTGGCACTAATACTGATATGCCGCTCCGGTACAGTGCGAAAGGACCATCCCGTGCACGACATGCATCGACACGGGGCTCACCTGCTCGTACCAGCGCAGGCCGCAGTACAAGTTCAAGGCTTCAGCTGACGGCAGTGCGAACGGGAAAGGCAGCGCGAAAGAGTCTTCGCAACGCACAAAAAAGAAAGCGGCTCGAAGACTGCAAGAGTCTCAAGACAGCCAGACCTCAATTGAATTGACTTTCGACAGTAAGAGCGCATCGGTTGATTCAGGGCGCGAACATCGATTCGTGCCGTCAGTTCATCAATGCTTTAATGATGGCGGTCTTACAACAGCCAGTGGGGACTGGTTTGGTCAATCCGGTATCGTGGAGTTGGACAACGACAATGAGACACATCGCCGTCCATCAACAAGCCTAGTACCCATGGAGAGAGTTCCCGAGTTCACATCAGCAGCATTTCCAGATTTCTCACTAGGTGGCATGCACAACCTACCAGAGTCAATACTGTCTCACACCTCGGATCCACTTTCCATGGTGCGGATGCACCCATCACCAAAACTAGCGAACGCTCAACTCAGATGGCGGCCACCCTCACCGAAGCATTCGTCGCCAGCTCTGAGTGCCGCCTACTTGTCTCCTCTAGGACCTGCCAGGATATCCCAACTTATCAATATCTTTCTGGCTCGACTTCATTTATCCATGCCCTTCTTCAGGAGGTCATTCTTACTAGTAAATCTCAGGAGTCGTCGGCATGAGTACGACCGTCAGTTCAACGCCTTGGTGCATAGCATCTGCGCCTACACACTA